GAGAGAGAAATTTTTTTTTTTAAAACCAACGTTGATAAAAATTAAATGAGAAAAAAAGGTTGAGTAGAAAGGCTACGAAAAATGTTTGTTTCTGATTTGCGGGTAATATTCTCGGAAACATTGCCAGCCAATCAGAAGTGTACGAAAATTTACGAACAGTTGCTACTCAACCCTGCTTGTGTATAGTCATTCTGTCAAATGTTTTCATATATTCTCTTTTTTTTGCCTTTAATTGTATTTCATTTTTAAAAAAAAATTTCTTGCCCTACTTCGTGTATAAAATATTTTATAAAAGTGTTTGGAAAATGTTGCTCTACTTCGTGTATAAAAGTATCTTATAAAAGTGTTTGGAAAATGTTGCTCTACTTCGTGTATAAAAGTATCTTATAAAAGTGTTTGGAAAATGTTGCTCTACTTCGTGTATAAAAGTATCTTATAAAAGTGTTTGGAAAAAATTTGTTCAAAGTTTGTCTTTAAGCAATGGAATTATTATTAGCTAATTAGTAATATACTATTACTAATTATAGAACAAAATGAAAAAAGGAAACGTAATTTCCTAACCTAAAAATTTGGAATAGGGAAAATTACGAAAACTCGCGTGTCACTTTATCAAATTTTGAGGTTAGGAAAGTACTTGGCAGAAATTTCGATGCACACGCAATATGAAGAGGGGTTTTTTTTTATTATATTCGAGTCTATTGACAGCAATTAGGGACACGAGGATCTCTATTAGATATATATACCCGCAGACTATATTAGTGATGGAACCTATATCGTGTATTGAACGGAAGATATATAGGAGGCTTTCTAGCTGACATTAGCTCATCAATTTGCCTCGTTTCAAACTATTAACCTGACAGGCGTGTGCGGAGCAGTAAATAAGGACCTTTCCTAATAGCATATATAGATATCAAAGTTCAATTTCTATATATGTGACAAGATACTAAAATTATTTTTTTTCATTAAAATAAAAATCCATTTTATTTTTTCAAAAATAAATATATTTACTCTCATCTCGATCTATTAGCTTTATTTTATTCGTCTCTGTTTGTCGATTATTGCCAGAGAGAAAAGAACTCAAAACTAGGTAAACTACGTTTTTTTTCTTCAAGGGGAAATAATCTTCCGAGTACAGTAAAAATAATCCACTATGCATTTTTCAAAAAAAAAAAAAAAAAAATTTGTACATGTTTATTCAATGAGAAAAAGCAATTTATTATGACGCAGTAAAAAAAAGTCGTTTTTTTCGTTCAAAACCACATCCCTCTTCTAAAGATAAAACGTTTTTCTGTTTTTAGGCTGGTCTTTCTTATATACGTCAAACAATGTTTAATGACCAAAAAAAAAGAACAGTTGTTTTTTCTCGGTCCAGTAAAAAAGAAATTCTTGCCTGAGAATCATTTTTCAGAAAAGGAAACATTTTCTGAGAGATGAATATTTTTAGAAAATGAAATTACAAATCATTTTTCGTAATTTTATGTAGTGAAAGAAATCTTTTGAATTTTTAAAAAAAATTTCTTTATTTTTAATTGTGTGAATTCTTTTGGGAATAATTTTTCTTTTTTTCGCTTGTTCGATCAATAATAGATTTTTGCTTTTATTGAAATACTCGTGTTATTTCGAACGGGAAGCTCCTCTCTATTTACACGCGAAGGCTTATTTTCATGCAAAACAACCCTTACGGAAACAAAACACTCAAGTCTCTACAATAATTTTAACTGCTTTTCTATTTTTATTTATTTTATTAAGTTTCAAGAAAAAACAATTGCATATCCGAAAGTAATTCTAGTACTTGAAATTTTTTTCCTCCTTTTTAAATATGTTCGTATTTTTTTTTTAATTAACTTTTTATAAATAAATTTTTTTTTTTGTTATTTTACCATATCAATTCAATTATTTTTTTCTGTCTATTTAAAATTTATTTAAAAAAAAAAATTAGAGAGAAAATAAAAAAAAAAGTTTCGAAAAAGAATTTGTTGAATGGTTTTTTTTTATTACAATGGATTAAGAAATATTTAAAATATTTTTTGGGGGGGTGAAAATTGATGAATTCTTTTAAAAATCAAGCAATTTTTCAAATTGACCATCATTTTTTTATTGGCATTACTCTCTCTCTCTCTCTCTTTTTTTCATATATGTATACATATTGTGCACGCGTGATAAAGGAAACAAAAAAACAAATCAAACAAATGCACAGAAATCGATTATGACAAATTGCTTGCGGATTGAGAGAAAAGTTTCTGTAATCTATATATAATAAAACGTATTTCGTGCAATGAATAATTGATATAAAACAATCAATTTCAATAGTTTTCCCCCTTTTTTTTATCTTCTTTTACGTGATTCATATTTTTATATATAGAATAAATAAATTATATATTTTAGAAATCATTAACTAATGAGAAATACATTATTGAATGATTTTCCTATTTTTATGTAGAAATAGAGAAAAAATATTTCTGACTTTATCATTAAGATCACATTAAATAATTCACAATTTTTTTTTAACAATTATTCACTTGAAGGATATTACATTTAAATTTCCCGCTACAAAAATGAATTTTACCACAAAAATAGCCAATAAGCTGCTTAATAATCGATATAAATCGATATATTTACATGTTTAAAGAAAACATAACCTATTTGCCATTTGTCAGGAAATATATTTTAATAATTTAATACGATAGCAATAATTAAAAAAAACAATTCCAATTATAATAAAAATTTAATTTGCAATAAGTATAATTAAATAGTAATTTCAAGTATATAATTATATTTTCATTCTAATTATAAACGTACTTTATCAAAAATAATATATATTTATAAACGTACTGAATCAAAAATAAATATATATATTTATTTTTGATAAAGTACGTTTATAAATCATGTTCAATGGTTATAAGTCAACTATTTCCAAAAACGTTTTAATATTTAAATAACCAATTAATCACGGGTTCGTGACACCGTTTGTCACGGTACACTAACTTTAGCAATCCACATGCTTGTGTGAACAAAGCGATATCACTTGATGCCGCCTTTTTTATGAAAATTTCATCTAAATTGTCCCTTTTAAGAAATATAATAGTAACAATAATTATTATTAATTCCTAAAATAATAACAATTAATTAATAATAATAAATAATAATAATAATAATAATAATAATAATAATAATAATAAAAATAATAATAATAATGATAATAAGAATAAAAATAATATGAACAAAAATAAAAAATAATATTCATAATAATAGTAATAATAAAAATAGTAATAATTATAAATTTCTTGAATAAAATTTTTTTTATTGACTATTTATATTAACAAATTAATTTAAAGGGAAAATAAATTATTCTAAATTATGCAATATATTATATAGAAATATGTTTATATTAAAGTAAATTTTTCCAATAAAGTGAAAATGTTGACAAAATTGTTTTTATATAATGAAATAATCAATAAATCTTGGGTACGTGACACCATTTATCGCGATACACTAATTCGGATGATTCGCCTCTTTGTAAGCACAACGTTATCAGTTGTCGGCAACTTTTACTTGAATAAATTTTTGTTGTCAAACAATGAAAAATACCTCAGTTGTTATTAATATGGTTTTTAAAATTTAATTCTTTTGTTTGTTATGGTAGGCCATAATTATAATAATTCAACTGCTTCTACACTCAACGTTGTCACATGTTTTATTATTATTATTTTTTTTTTTTTATTAAATTATTCTATTAATAAAAACGGATTTAGTGTTGGTGTTTTAGCAAATTAAAAAAAATATATATATAAGGCTACCGTTGATCGCGATACACTTGCAAAAAGTTTTTGCCTCATCGTATGATAATTTATTTACACTTCTTGTTTAGAAAAAAAAACGTAGTAGTACCGTTATTCGCGATAAACTTAGGCGATTTGCCTCTTTGTATTCTCGGAGTTGCCATTTGTCTTATTTATTCTTATATTTTTTTGTAGCCCATGCTTTTTTTCTGAGTTGTCATTTGTCTTTTTTTTATTATCTTTTTCGATACTACCATTCATGGCAATATACTAATTATGAAAATTCGTCTCTTTTTTTGTAGAGATATCAGTTGTCTTTTTTAAACTACGAACAGTTCTGTTTACCATTTATCGCGATACACTTTTCTCAGCGTTTCGGTATCTAAAGGATACAGTACTGTACAGTTTTTTTACAGAGTTGTCACTTGTCTTTATTAAAATTATCTATTTCGATACTACCATACATTAATTGTAAAAATCTGTCTGCCTTTTTGCAGAGTTGTCAGTTGTCTTTTTTATAAACTACCAACAGTAGTGTTTACCATTGATCGCGATACACTTTTATCAGCGTTTCGGTATCTAAAGGATACAGTACTGTACAGTTTTTTTACAGAGTTGTCACTTGTCTTTATTAAAATTATCTATTTCGATACTACCATAAACTAATTATAAAAATCTGTCTGCCTTTTTGCAGAGTTGTCAGTTGTCTTTTTTCAAAACTACCAACAGTCCTGTTTACCATTGATCGCGATACACTTTTCTCAGCGTTTCGGTATCTTAAGAATTACAGTACAGTCGATTTAAATTGCGAACAGATGTTTAATCATTCATAACATAAAATTTTTCTCTTTCTAAGAGGTGAGAGAGGGGGGGGATTGAGAAAGAGAAGGAGAAGTGGTGAAATTCGTGTGTGACGTGTTGCTTACGCCACTCCGGGGGCTCACCCTGGTATATCCAGGAGTCGTGCATATGCACGTGCGACATATATCTATGTATATATCTATATATAAAGGTATAACACTTGGAATCCCGAGTACCTCGTTGTGCGTCACTATATATATATGTGTGTGTGTATGTGTGTTTTCAGTCATTTGAAAGGGCGCATGCCTGACCGAAAGAGGGAATTGAGGTACAGAGAGGGTGGGTGGTGGGATCAAGAGAGGAATGGAAGAGCAGCAACGTTGAGCGGAGCAAGGAAAGAAGCCAGTGGCTTATTGGGCACCCCCTCGCACTTGGCCCTCGCAACGATAACCGAACCCTGGTCAGTAGTTTGCGACTAGTCCACCCTGTGCAAACCACAGAGACATATACACGCGGCGCGCCGCGATTTTTCTCCTCTCTCTTGTCACCGGGGTTGCGTTTTTTTTTGAAAAAAAAAAAAAATAAAAGACGACAAATTTTTGTTTTTCTTATTAAGAAAAAAGAAACTATTATTTTTTTTAAAGAAAGAGATTAAGGGGAAACATTGTCGTGAGTCGTACAAACGTTTCTCGTATATAGAGGAGCCGGGTCGGTGATTGTGTTTGCCAGGATCGAAAGACGCACGCGGGATATGGAGACCACCTGAGGCAATCCCTCGCTCTTCAAAGGACCCCACCTTCCACAATCCTAGTCAGTCTCTCTCTCACTGAAAGCAAATTACTAATTCCCTTTTGGATAATTAAAATTGAAAACAATTTTTTTTTAAATGATTACAAGTTAGCCTCACAGAATTTGAATTATCAGTTGGATTATCAGTTTTTTTTTTTGGAAATTAGGATGTGATATTCTAATATCCTAATTTTCAAAAATGAAAAATAAAAAATTTTGAAAATTTGTTTTTCGATTGGTGGATCATTTTTTGAAAGCATTGGTATTAGGATAGTTTTCTGGATATCCAAACAATAGCCAGTTTGAAAGTTTGGATAAAAATGGATGACGTTTGGATATTCAAAATACCTGAAATAGGTAAGGATATCCATGGATCACCTGACGATATTCATAGAAAATGCTGGGACAGGAATTGTCATCCATAGGGGATGTCAGGATATTCTTAAATAACGTGGGACAGGTTCGGATATCTTTGGATAACCTGAGGGTATTCGTAGGTACCTTTGGGACAAGTCAGACATTCCAGATATTCTATGGATGTACTCAGATAACACCAGGACAAGTTTGGATATTTATGGATGACCTAAGGGTAATTATAGATAATACCGAGACAGGTTTGGACATCAATTGTTATCCTTTGGTTATCCATAAATATCCAAACTTGTCCCGGAGTTAGTCATTGATATTATTAATCCAAAAGTTATCTAAAAGTTGTCCAAAAGTAATTCTGGAACAGGATTGAAAATTTATGGATACCATTGGGTCATCCATAAATATCCAAACTTGTCCCAGAGTTACCAATTGTTATTCTATGGTTATCCATTAATAATTCCGAGAAATGTTCGAAAATTTATGAATATCGTAGGCTTTACCATAAATATCCAAAGGTGGTTTCTAGTTATCCAAAGATATTTTTTGGTTATCCATTGGTAACTCTGGAACAGGGTCAATAATTTTTGGATATCATTTAGTTGCTAATAGATATCCAAACCTGTTCCATAGTTATCCATTGATGTTTGGAGGATATCTATAGGTAATTTCGGGACAGGATTTTGATATTTATGGATGACATTTGGATATCCATGACTAACTCTTGGATATGTTTGGGTATTTATGGATGACATCCGCAGCTAACTCCTGGACATGTTTGAATGTTTATGGATGACGATTTCCTTAACTCCTGGACACTTTCAGAAATTTATGGATGACCTTAGACTATCCATAACTAACTCCAGGATATTTATGGATGATTTAAGGATATCCATAGAAAATTTGGAACATTCTATGAATATCCAAAGCCGCTAAATGTGAAAAAAAAATTTTTGGAAATGGAAAAAAAATTTTGGATAGATAAAAATAATTTTTTACATAATTTAAAAAAAAGGAGCATTTATCCTTTTTGGATAACAAAAAAGAGAAAATATTTGTTTTTCCTTATAAATTTTTAAAAATTAAACCCAAAAGAATCGGTTTAATAGCCACGGAACAATAGTTATATGCAATCCGGAAAATGCAATTAGTATGTTAATGACGAATCAATGGTTCAGAAGGGATTTCAAGGATCGAGTTTCCTGAAATGCCGAGAGTTCTCGATATATATATATATAGAGAGAGAGAGTAGCTTCCGGTGAGATTGGAGAAGTTTCCTGTGATGGAAAGCCTTCCAAGATTCTTTTTGAAGACCACTATTTTTTTCCATTTTTTTCTAAATTTTAAAATTAGCACTGATTTCCATTCTTAAAGAACTATTGAAAATAATTTTCCCCTTTTTTTCTATTTTCTTTCGAATCGTAATCAAAATTTTTTTTTTTTTTTTTGAAAATAATTGTGTAAAAAAAATTTTTTAATTTGCTTTTTTACTTCTATTGTTAATAGCAACAAATGGAACTTTTTTTTCTGAATTTTAGTTTTTAAAATTTTCTCTCTGTATATTGTTTTCTGTTTTTTCCATTGTAAATTTTTTTTTTAAATTCTCTCTTTTTTTTCATTGCAAATGTGTTTTTGATTCTTAACAAAATGTGTTTAAAAATTGAAAAAAATAACTCAAATAATTTTTGCACTGAGTCGTTGAATTATTGATAAACTTGAATTATTTCACGCTTTGAATGTTACATTTTGAAAAATAAATTTGAATTTATTTTTATTTTGAAAATAAAGAAAAATGTTTATTTGAAAAATGTTGAAATATTATTTTTATTTCATAATGAAGAGGAAAAATATATAATATTTTTTAAAAAAATGTAATTTTAAATTAAAAATAGAAAATTAATTAATATTTTTCTTAAACACAAAAATTAAAATTAAAAATTTATATAGATTTTCCTTTGACGAGTTATGATTGTTTGGAAATTTCGCAATCATTTGGCTTTAAATTATTTACGATGCTTTGATAATTTGTGGTTTCTTAAAGAAATAAAGAATTCGCCTTCATTTTTTTTTGTTTTCAATTCTCATCTAAATTTTTTTTTTTTTAATCATTCCAAAAATATTTGATTTTCCCACGGAAGCTGTTAGATTTGTTAGATTGTTCAAATTTTCCCTCGGAGATAATTATAAATTCTTGGTATAATTCCAAAAAATTTTTTGATGATGTCAGATTATTTTAAATATGACAAGAAATTGTTTCATTGGTCTAAAAACGTGTTTCAAATGATTTACAAATACTAAAGATTAAGTAATTTAAAAAATTTTAAGACTAAAAAAAATTTTTTTTTAATAAAAAATTTTTTTAATTTTTTTTTTGTTATTTAAATTTCTTTGTATTAAAATTAAATTCTGAAAGAAAATAATAAAAAAAAATATGTTAAAAAATTTAGTTTTGGAAATAAAAAAAAAATCTTTCAAAAATTCCAAGGGGACATTTTTTTTTTTTCTTAAAAATTGACACGTCCTAAGAAAAACCTATATATGGTCGTAAATTTTCTGCATCGTAAAAAGAAATCCTGTTGGATTTTTAAAATGTCGTAAAGAATCTAATAAAATCCTGGGAACATGGTCAGATTTTTAATTCAAGGGTCAATATATTGCGCAGCGAAAGCAAAAAACTATAATACACAAAATTTTTCTCTTTTTGGAACTATACTTTTTTCCTTTTGTCATTAATTTTTTTACCTAATTTATTTTTTACAAGAAAAACTTTTTTTTTGCATAAATTAAATAAATTTCAATTTTGTCCACTTTTAAAAAAATTAATTTTTAGATTTTTACTACAATTCATTTTTTTTAATTTAAAAAAAATTCATTTTCAAATTTTCCTCTAAATTTCAATTATATTTTTTTTCAAAAACTACTTTCTAAATGTTTAAACAGGAAATATTTTGTCAGGAAATTGCTGTGTTCATTTTCTGGAAAATTTCTCATCTATTTTCTGAAAATGATCCTTACGCTTTTATCGAGTTGTTAAAAAGAAAAAAAAAAAATTTTTTTTGTATTTAAAAAAATGTTTTTCTAACTGTCCCCACAAAAAAAAGAACACATTCTTTAGAAAATTCTCCTGGTAAAATTTTTCCTATTTACCATTTTGAAGAAAAACAAGAAATTTTACTTTTAAATTCTTGGAAAGTTTTTTCCAGTATAGAAAAACTTAAAAAAAAATAGAAACTCTGAAATGAAATAACTTTAACAAATAAAAAATTTGTCAAGAAAAATTTTTTAAAAAAAATTCAAAGAAAATTAAAACAATTTTTTTTTAAATTTATTTTTTAATAATTTTATATATACAAGTAGAAAAATTCGAATAGGAATCCTTTTTGTGTATAAATATATTGATAAAATGAGAGGCAAGAAAAATTTAAAATTCAAAATGGTGGATTCAATATGTCAGTTTTAATATTGCAAAATCTAAACAAAATTCGAATGGAAATATATATATATCTGAGAGAGAGCATCACGGGTCACTGCTTTCAAAATTGAATACCAAATTTTTTAAAGTTCAACATTTTTGTAGTTGTAACATTTCTATTCAACACATTTATATATATATAAAACATTCGAAAATGATAAAATAGAATCAAATTTTTTTTTATTTCAAAAGTTATAGATAAAAAAAAATTTTTTTGAAATTCTCATCAAACTAATTTTTATACAACTTTTTTTTTACTAAATACACAATTAATTATTATTATTTTATGTTAATTATTTTTTATATTTAATAAAAATTTTTTTAATCAAAATTTTTAATTAAAAATAATAATTAAAATACAAATTTTGTTGAAATTTGATTTAAGATTGAAAAAAAATTTTTTTGAAACCAAATTGGAAAAGAAATAATAATAATAATAATAATTAAGTTAATAGAAAAAATAAATAATAATAATTAAAAAAAAGAATAGTAATAATTAAAATTTTTAACAATAATTATATATTTTGAAAAAGTGTCAAACACAAAAGGGTTTAACATATCCGGAAAGCGTTGTGAGGGAACCTTAAGCGATCGGTTATTCCCCTGTATCGAAAGTTGAGCGCGCAGCATGTTAATTGTAGAGGAACCTTTACTTACCAGTTACCCCCACTTCTTGAAAATTGCGCGCGCAGTATTTTTTTTATCTCAGTATTAAAAAATTCATAGATAATCATAAAAATAAATAATATATTAATTAATTAATAAATATTATACTGATTAATAATCATATAATAATAATAATAATAATAATAATAATATTATTATTATTATACTAATTATTAATATCTTCTCAAGTACTTAAAGAAAATTAATATTTTTATTAGAATGCAATATAATTAACAAAATAATAAATTGAATAGTAAAAATGTTTTTATATTACTTTCTATTTTTTTTATTATTATGCATTTTATCTAAAAGCGCTTTTTCGACCTTTAAGAGAGTTTTTCGTAGCGCAGTTGCGTTATTGTCAACTCTGTGTTCCTCCGTACGCAGCCTGCGCACGAAGGAACACTAGTCCCGCCTCCACGATGCGCACGCAGCTTTCAAGTAGTGGAGGTAATTACTGAACCCATTCCCTATTCTCCCAATTAACTAGTTTATTTGCATCAAAAAGTAACAATATTTTTTTTATATTAAAATAAAAATAATAATTAACAGTTTGCTAAAAGTGAGAGAGAGGGACTATTTCTAAAAAAAAAGGATCAAAAAAACGCTCGAGAAGTGGAAAGGGTGAAGTGATACTGAGATCACTTAGAATGGGCTGCAGATCGGCAGCTGACACGAGGGCGACGACGACGACGGAAGGGAGCGAACGAGGGACGTCGTCGTCTTGGAGGCAACTGACATCGAAAAGTGATTGTCAGGACGAGGAGGAAGAAGAGGAGGAGAGTGAGGGACGACGGTGGTGGTGCAGGTCAATTGAGGCCAGCACCAGGTGAGGATGCAGAAATTGCGCTCGACCTTCAAGAGGTCACGCACGCCAACTGGCTCAGAAATGAAATCACAGTCAAGTCTCGAGGTACCAAAACAAGTTCGTTCTGCATCATTTGATGAAATTCAATTGGAAGTTAAACGTCACGATGAGTGTCGTGATTTGCGTCTTGCAACGAGAACATCATCATCGTCATCGTCATGTTCACCTGTACGTTCTCAAGATCCCAGCAAGAGGCTAAATACCCTTAGGGTTCCACAACTTCAAAGTGGACAGAGATCGAAAAGTTTTGATGTCTGCGAAAGGAGTCTTTTTTCTGAGAGATTGACACGAAAACCTGAAACACCAGTGATACAGGTGTCGGGTTGTTATCATTGTGCTTGTGTTGAGGAGTACAAGAGCCTCTATCAGAGTCGTGACGATGATGATGAATCGTCGTCGAGAGATGAGGAGGAAGAGGAGATTGAAATCATTCAAATCTCCGGCGATGATGTTAATAATGATGATAATGATGATGATGAGGAGGAGGAAGAGGAGGAAGAAGAAGAGGTGAGTGGCGATTCGAGAAGGGAGGGAAGTCCTGAGATAAGAGTAACATTAATGACGTATTCGGAGAAAACTTCATCGGAGGGAGAACCAGAATTGGAAGCACTTGAAGTAACCGAAGGAATTCCATGTATGGAGAGGAGAAGATCTTTTGGAAGATTATCACGTCAAGAGGCGCTCACATCGTTTCCCATTGAATTCCCAACGGTTATTGGTGGTTCAAATGATGATGACGACGATGATGATGATGATGACGATGAGGAGGATAAGAGTAAACTTGTTGTGAGGGATATATTTCTCACTGTTCCCGAATTGAAAAGAGATCGTGCCGCATCGGTTGATTCGTGTTTTAATAATACAAAAAATGGAAAAAGCGAAACTGGTGATTCATTGCTTGTGCCACAGCAAAATATCAGAAGCAAGAGTGTGGACATTGTTCTTCCAACGGATATTCAAACAAGATATACGGCACTTCTACCAGGGAACGAAGCATTGAGAGGGTGGGTACGTTAGTGGACGTTATTTTTAAGCTTTTTAATTTAAATACGAATTTTTAGATTGTTATTAAATTTTTTTTTCATTTTAAACAAATTTTATCAGAAAAAAAAGATAAAACATATTTCAAGGGGAAATATTTTTAATTTTTTACAAGTTTGTAACTTTCTTTTTAACGAGGATTAAAAAGGCTTGACGTACCTATATATATATAGATATCTATATAATAGTGGTATATAAAGATCAGCTTGAATTTTTATGAGGCAATTTGACTTTATCTTAAAATAATGCATTTCAAAATTTCAAGCGTTAAAATACTATTTTTATATACCTATATGTATTAATAATAATTTATTTGAATGAAACATTGTTTATATTGGGGGAAAAAAAATAAGAGAGAAGAGATAAATGAAATAGGTATTATCTTTTCTTGTAAATAGAAATAAGGGATGTTGAATATAAAAAAGTTGAAGGTTCTTTTTTTCCTCTATATATAAAAGTTTTTAAAACAACTGCAATGGAAAATGTAAATTTTCGAATTATAATTTTCCTAGCACACAATTTTGAGATAATAATTGGAGGGAAAATTATAAAGTACTTTTTATAACCACAGTTATGATAGCATTAATTAAACTCCATTCCATTTTTTTGCATTTCATTGTTGGAACTTTTTCTCTCTCTATATATATATGTATGTATTTTAAAGAGTTGAAATTTTCATTTCATCCATCAATTTCTTCTTCTATGTTAATTTTAATTATATAATTATTTATTGTTTCCGCGGTCTTTTTTGGACTTCATCAATTGTTTAATTCTTTTTCCTTCTTTTGTCATTAAAAAAAAAATTTATTATTAATCTTTTAATATTGAAATATAAAAACAAAATCAATTTTCTTCTATTGATTATAAAAATGCTTTGACTTTACGACGTTAAGCAGATTTATCAAAATTTAATTAATTTTCGTATTAATTATTCTTCTTAAAAATAAGACGTTGATTTTCATGTTAATTTTCTTCTACTGGCCATAAAACTGCATTCATTCATTCATTTCATTAATTCATTAATTTTTATATCAATTAATTAATCATTGCAATTAATTGTTCCTCTTCCAACTAAACTTTCATTTTAAATTTTCTTCTGCTGATCATAAAACTGCGTTTACTTTTATATATTGAGCATTTTTATAAAAATGCCATTTACGTTTATATGAATTTTCTTCTACTGGCCATAAAACTGCATTCATTTTTTGATGTTTATAATCTTTATTAACATTCAATTTATTTTTATATCAAATAATTTATTATTGCAATTAATTGTTCCTCTTCGAAATAAACTTTGATTTTAAATTTTCTTCTGCTGATCATAAAACTGCGTTTACTTTTATATATTGAGCATTTTTATAAAAATGCCATTTACGTTTATATGAATTAATTAATTAATTGTTATAATTAATTTTTCCTTTTTCGGAATAAACGTTGATTGTAAATTTTCTTCTATTGTTCATAAAACTGCTGTTCTTTTCGATGTTGTAAATCTTTATCAAAATTCCATTAATTTTTATATAAATTAATGAAATATTCTTCTCAGTAATAATACGTTAATTGTAATCAAAAAATTTCTTCTACTGGTCATAAAACTGCATTCATTTTTGTATATTGACTATATTTCTAAAAATTGCGTTAATTTTTATATCAATTAATTAATTATTAAAATTAATTGTTTCTTTTCGCAATAAAATTTAAATGTAAATTTTCTTCTATTGATCATAAAATTGCTGTTACTTTTTGACGTTATGGATCTTTATACAAATTCCATTAATTTTCATATTAATTAATTATTTCTCTCTGAAATAAAACGTTAATTGTAATATAAATTTTCTTCTACTGGCCATAAAACTGCATTCATTCATTCATTTCATTAATTCATTAATTTTTATATCAATTAATTAATCATTGCAATTAATTGTTCCTCTTCGAAATAAACTTTGATTTTAAATTTTCTTCTGCTGATCATAAAACTGCGTTTACTTTTATATATTGAGCATTTTTATAAAAATGACATTTACGTTTATATGAATTAATTAATTGTTATAATTAATTTTTCCTTTTTGGGAAAAAACGTTGGTTGTAAATTTTCTTCTATTGATCATAAAACTGCTGTTACTTTTCGACGTTGTGCACCTTTATCAAAATTCCATTAATTTTCATATAAATTAATGAATTATTCTTCTCAGTAATAATACGTTAATTGTAATCAAAAAATTTCTTCTACTGGTCATAAAACTGAATTCATTTTTGTATATTGATTATATTTCTAAAAATTGCATTAATTTTTATATCAATTAATTAATTATTAAAATTAATTGTTTCTTTTCGCAATAAACGTTGATTGTAAATTTTCTTCTATTCATCATAAAATTGCCGTTACTTTTTGACGTTGTGCATCTTTATCAAAATTTCATTAATTTTCATATTAATTAATTAATTATTTCTCTCAGAAATAAGACGTTAATTGTAATATAAATTTTCTTCTACTGTTCATAAAACTACATTCAATTTTGGATATTGGTGATTTTTATCAACATTACGTTTATTTTCATATCAATTAATTAATTATTATAATTAATTATTCCTCTTCCAAATAAATATTGATTGTAACTTTTCTTCTGCTGATCGTAAAATAGCGTTACATTTTTTCATATTGACTATCTTTATAAAAATTTCTTTTATCTTCATATCAACTGATTAATTATTTCTTTTTGAAATAAACATTAATTTTAAATTTTCTTCTATTAATCATAAAACTGCGTTTACTTTTCGACGTTGAGTAAATTTTCTTCTACTGATCATAAAACTGCTTTCATTTTCCAATTTAAAAATCCACTTTTTATATAAATTATTATTTTTATTAATATGAAAATTTAATTAAAAAAACAAAATTTTAATACAATTTCTTTTTTGTTTTATTATTTATAAATTATCGAATAAACGTTGTTTGAGAAAAACTTAATTATATATAATACATTCTTTGCCTGGGGGGATAAATATCGGATTTGTCTCGATATCCAAAAGTGTTACTAACTGTGATAAAGTTTCCTTTGGTATAAAGCTTGGATTTTCAGTTTAAGTTTGCACACGAAGCACACTGTGAAGAGAGGAGAGAGAGGGAACCTTTAGCCAATGAGTAACCGAGAGCGAAAGATTAAACTCAAGTTTAAGCTCAAGGGTTTGAATTGAAAGACGAGATTTAAATCCATTACTTGTATAAATACAGAATAAGAATTTCAATTTTTGCTCTTATTTCATTTTTAATGGTATTATATTTTTCTTAAAATATCTCTTACATCAAAAAACAATCGTGTGATTTTTTTTTTTAATAATTCTTGATAATTAGAAAAAAGGAATGTTGACAGTTTTTAATAATTCCAAATTACGGATTCAATATGAAGATTTTTAAAAATTTTGATGTTACTGATTACGAAATTAATTTTAGATAATTAGTGATCCTAGAAATAAGTTTCAATTTTTAAAAAATCTTTCACCGTTTTGAATTTTGATAACGGATTCCTAATTTTTCATTTATGAATTAATTACTTCTTTTTTTTTGTTGTATAATTTAGCATTTTTTCTCCACATCATCATCATAGGGGGAAAATTATTATTTTATATTTGCAAGGAATATTCATGGGCTATATGTATATATGATAAATTGCCAAGTCCTTTTTGAATACTCCGTCAATTCCAATGCGAAATGTGACCTAATTGAACTTTAGTTTCAAAAACATTTGCAGATACATTATCATACATTTGCATATAAATCTCAAAGTTGTACCCCGATATAACTATATCAATACATATATGTGTGTGAGAGGTATTGTATTTTTTTTGTATTATATATCTAGATAAAATGATGAAAGGGAGAAATTTTTTTTTTTAAATCGAAGTTACGTTTTTCATTGTTAGTATAAAATATCTAATTTTGAAAAAATTATATCCTCAAACTTGTTTTCAATATAGTTTCAATTATATATATTTGTTTTTGAAAACTTTGTGATAATAATAACAATATATATTTGAATAAGGGTTTGTTATATTAAGTGAATGTAGGTTAACATCTGCTGTTGACTTAACATAGTTAACTGACGTTTATTAATTAATTATATTCAATAAAAGAATAATTAAAAATTTTTTTAATCTTACATTTTTTGTTGCCCAAAAAATATTTAAATTTTTTTTTTCTTTTCAATTGGTTCTAAATATTTAATTTTACTTTCCTTTTCACTTTCACTAATTAGAAATTAGTGAAAGAAAATAAATAAAACTATTTTTAATTCACATTTTCCTTTTTCATGAAATTGATTCTATATCTGAAATTTTATATATTTCTATAATTTATAATCAATTTTTTTTACTTTATTCTGGTACTCAATCTTTCTATTTCGAGATATTTATTCCTGTCGTGTTTGGTTGTTTTTAAACATTTATGATATGCATATATTATTAAATAGAATTTTTATTTTTATATTTTTAATCAATATCTCTTTTTTTCAAATAAAATATTCAGCTCACTGTTAAAAAATATGGCAATAAATTTGATGTAAATAAATCGAAAATATATTAGCATATCGAATAGAAAATAACTAATTTCATATTATTAAATTTAATTTATCATTTTTTTGAAATAATATAATTAATTAATAATAATAAAAAAAATATTAAAATATAATTTTTATAGAATGGTGAAAAATATTTTGATAATTGAAGAAATATTTTCCTGCTAAAAAAAAATATTAGTAACGTTTATTTTTATAGAAAAGAAAAATATGAAGAATATTGTATTTCCTGTCTAATGTTTACAATATAATTTTCTCATTGGACGATAATCGACAAAGTTTTTTTGACCCTCTATTATATACTGAAATGGAAAGGTAGTAGAAGAGGGAGAGATACTTCTCGCCCATTAACGAAGTAAACGTCAGTCACTTTGACCCCTCGATTAAGTCAACATGTCGGGACTTTAAGGTGGTGGTTTCCTCTTTTTCTGAATTGAAGAAAGAAAGGAAAGGGGAAAAAAGAGTCGTTCACTTCTTTCTTTTTTTTTTTGCCAAGAGAAAGAGAAGTTTCTACGAATCACTTTATATAAAACCCAAAGAACCTTAAAAGAAATCCTCTTGGAAAATTCAATTTATCCTTGTAAAATTGAAATTCCCCCTTCTCACATCAGAAAACGTTTTAATTTCCATCGTATCTAGAATATCATCTCACATATATTATTATTATTATTCCATAGATCCATTTGAAACTATTTTCATTCCATTAACATTGTTTTCTTTAACATTTTTTTTTTATTTAAAAATTTTTGTTAATCGATAAATGAAAAATGTGAAGCAAAATTTAATTATTATAATTCGAGAAAAATGAAATGACAATTGTTCTTGGGGGATTTTTTTTTTAGTTCTTAATTAATTCAAATTGTGTGATAGAGAAAATTCTTTTTTTAATTTCAGTGGGAGAGAGGAGAGCGGACCAAGTAGTAGTCACAGAGAACCGCGATCAACTCCCGACTGGGGTTCAGGTGCAGTTAACGGAGAACATCTTTGGGTACCAACCGCAGCATCCGGGGATTTCTGTTACGTCAACGATTGCTCTGTAAGTGCCGGGGATTACTATTAATTAACTTCGTTGATTTTCTGCATTAATTAACACACTCTTACTTATTATCCTCGAATTTCCTTTCCATTTAATTATATACAGTAAATCGTTTGAGCTATTTGAGAATATTCAAATGTAAAGGCAATTACGTAATTATTTTTTTAGATTTTCATTTAGAATGAGTTTGCTCTCTTTAATGCGCTTTCGTTGCATAGAACTTCGTTGCGTGGAGAGCGCACACGATAGGATATCGTAGCGTGGAGAGTCTGCCAATTGGAAATTGCCTAACGCATCAAGGGGAGACACACAATTCCTTCAACTATTTTTTTAATTTCTCTGCCTTTTTTTATCGTTTTCCAAATCATCTCTACTTTTACAATCTGCTTTTTTTGTCAATTTTTTTATTTTTGGTTTTTCTAATTGAAGAGCTTTCTCCTCAAATCGTTATCTCTCTGAACGGACGCTATAAATAAACAAATTGCTTCTGTCCACTTGTCCTAGTTTCAAAAGACTTCAGAATATACATATATATGCGAAAAAACGCGAACCTTTTGACTAACGACACGATCAAAAGCAATTATATGTATAGGTCCTTTTTTCATTTAAAGACCCGCTTGACATAAAAGGTCTGAGGGAGGAATGATTAATGAACGATCTGAGATGTTAAACAGCGTGGCAAAACTGTTGAAATTTCTCCTAAGCGTTCAGTTTTATCGCACGTAAAATGGAGATTGGAACGATAGACTTTTATATTTATATATTTAAAATTCCTTGTGCAAATTTTCGTAGGTGACTTTTTTTTCATTCTCTCGCGTGCTTACATTGGGAGGTTCTTTTTAAACATCGCTTCATAGTGAATAATTACACTAAAGTATTATTAACAATTTTCAAGTTTATTTGTTATTCACGGAAAAAAAATTTATTTAAATTTTTTTAATTTTAATTGAAAATAATTTTTAATATTCAGTTTATGATTTTTCGAATTATTTAAGTAAATGCGCATGTGGTATATATATATATTTTGCATTTACATTTTCGAGGCACGTAAACTTGTTGGGGGATTTATAGAGTCGTAACAATTGTAGGAAGATGATGTTTAATGCAATGCACCTCAAAATACATTTTAAATACGAGCACCAACGCCATGTTGATTCAAGTTTTAATGAAACGACTCCCAGGTGGCTCTAATGTTCCATTTTCTGTAAAATAAGTCAGGGAGTTCATCCTCTTTGTATGCCTCCTATTCTAAGCATATGTGCTCTAATTTTCTAAACCCTATTTCATGTTTCATCATTAAAAATGTAAATAATAATTCAGCTTCGAAAGAAAAAAGGTTGATTGTAAATTTTCTTCTACTGAACATAAAACTGCTTGCACTTATCGACAATGAAAATATTTATCAAAAATTATATTTATTTTCATGTATATTAATTAATTATTTATTGTAATTAATTGTTTCGGTGCGAAATAAAAATTGATTGTAAATTTTCTTCTACTGATCATAAAATTGCTTTTAGTTTTCCGACTACATTTATTAAAAATTCTATTAATTTTTATATCAATTAATTAATTATTACAATTTAATTGTTACTCTTCGAAATAAACTTTGATTTTAAATTTTCTTCTGCTGATCATAAAACTGCGTTTACTTTTATATATTGAGCATTTTTATAAAAATGCCATTTACGTTTATATGAATTAATTAATTGTTATAATTAATTTTTCCTTTTCGGAATAAACGTTGATTGTAAATTTTCTTCTATTGTTCATAAAACTGCTGTTACTTTTCAATGTTGTGAATCTTTATCAAAATTCCATTAATTTTCATATAAATTAATGAAATATTCTTCTCAGTAATAATACGTTAATTGTAATGAAAAAATTTCTTCTACTGGTCATAAAACTGCATTCACTTTGGATATTGACTATATTTCTAAAAATTGTATTAATTTTTATATCAATTAATTAATTATTAAAATTAATTGTTTCTTTTCGCAATAAACTTTGATTGTAAATTTTCTTCTATTGATCATAAAATTGCTGTTACTTTTTGACGTTATGGATCTTTATACAAATTCCATTAATTTTCATATTAATTAATTAATTATTTTTCTCTGAAATAAGACGTTAATTGTAATATAAATTTTCTTCTACTGGTCATAAATCTGCATTCACATTTGGATATTTGTGATTTTTACCAACATTTCGTTTATTTTCATATCAATTAACTAATTATTATAATTAATTGTTCTTCTTTCAAATAAACATTAATTGTAAATTTTCTTTTGCTTATCATATAACTGAGTTTACTTTTCTATATTGAGCATATTTATAAATATTCCATTTAGTTTTATATAAATTAATTAATTATTTTAATTAATTATTGCAATTAATTTTTCCTATTCGAAATAAATGTTAATTTTAAATTTTCTTTTGCTGATCATAAAACTGCATTAACTTTTGTACATCTTAATGAAAATTCTAATTATATTTTTATAAGAATTAATTAATTATAATAATTATTTTAATTCGAAATAAACATTGATTTTAAAATTTCTTCTATTGATCATAAAACTGCAATTTTCATTTGTTAAGCATCTTTATAGAAATTACATTTGTTTTTATATGCATTAATTAGTTATTTTAATTAATTGTTTTTTTTTTTTGAATAAACGTTGATTGTAAATTTTCTTCTACTGATCACAAAACTGCTTTTTTCGGCAAATATAAATAAGAATTTTTTTTCTTATTTCTAGAAACACGGACCACGTATGAAGTGCGCAGCGTGTAGAGTTGTCACTCATGTGCTTTGCTTCGAACACTTGAACTTTGCCTGTAAGTCGAGCTTTCGTGACGTTGGCGTACGACAATATCGTGAACAAACACAAACACATCATCATTGGGTTCATCGACGTTCGCAAAAGGGCAAATGTTCCAACTGTGGCAAATCATTTCAGTCAAAACTGAGTTTCTCTTCAAAAGAGATTATTGCTGTGAGTTGCAGTTGGTGTAAGACAGCCTATCACAATAAAGAATCATGTTTCAATGTCGATCGTATTGGCGAGAATTGTGAACTTGGCACAAATTCATCAATAATTGTCCCACCCTCATGGATAGTTAAACTTCCTAAAAAGGGAAGCTTCAAAAGCAGTTTAAGAAAATCACCACGTAGAAATAAGAAAACATCTGGTAGCACATCAGCTGCATCGAGTCGAAGAAAAATTAAAGATAGCAAGGAAAAGGAAAATAATAAGGAAAAAGAGAAGGATGAAAAGGAGCAAAAACTTTGGGTGATTAAACCAATTCCCACTACCACTGTTAAACCAGTTATTGTCTTTATAAATCCCAAATCGGGTGGTAATCAAGGTTCAAAACTTCTTCAAAAATTTCAATGGCTTCTAAATCCACGACAAGTTTTTGATTTAACCCAAGGAGGACCAAGAATGGGGTAAGAATAATATTTTCTTACAGTGAATATTTCATTTTTTTATCTCCCTTTTTTTTATCACCAAGAATAATTTCCCCTTTTTTCCCCCACTGCTATTTATCATCTACGTCAGAATCAGAAATTGTGTCCACAAAATTTCCATTTTCATTAAAAAACAGTTATCATCTGGGAACATGTTATTATTATTAATGTGGGTAAAATCCTTCCTCTAGTTAGCAAAAAAAAAATGAGCCGATTAATTATTCCATTTCTCATTTTGTGTAGCTCTTTCAAAAAAAAAAATTTGAAAAGAATTTCGGGTCAGGGTTACTTGAAAATAAATTGACATTGAATTTTGTCAAGATCAAAATGAAAGGTTATGTTTTCTTTTCCTGAAGACGAAAAAAAAAATTTACTAATGACAAAATTTTTCCTTTCGAATAGATTGGAACTATTTCAAAAAACACCGAATCTTCGGGTTCTCGCTTGCGGTGGAGATGGAACTGTTGGATGGGTACTATCAGTTTTGGATCAAATTGGTGTGAATCCATCACCTGCAGTTGGTGTTTTACCATTGGGTACAGGAAATGATTTAGCAAGAGCACTCGGTTGGGGTGGTGGCTATACGGATGAGCCAATAAGTAAAATTTTAAGCAACATTGGCGATAGTGAAAATACTTTACTGGACAGGTGGCAATTGACAGTGGAGAGGAATCCTGATGCAAAAAGTGATGAAGATGCAAGCAAGGGCAAGGAGAACCTTCCCCTTAATGTCGTTAACAACTATTACTCCCTTGGGGTTGATGCTCACATCGCTCTCGAGTTCCACGAGGCTAGAGGTGAATAAGTAATATCGACTTTACTCGTACTCCTCCCTTTTCACCCCGCATTCCATTTAAAGTGCGCCACTGGGATATCTTTCCTTCAACTTTGTACCCGGAACGTCCTTTAATAATCTAGATCGAAGGAAATTGACTACGGTAGTTCGAGGGATGAGGGGTGGGGGGATTTAACGACTCAAAAACCTTTTTGCTTCGTCAATTATTAAAGGTGTAATTAATCTTCAAATAGAGTTGTATCATGAAATATTTGTTATCAAACATATCCCCTTTTTTTTGTTGTTGTTGTCAATTTAATGTTTTCCTTTGAAGTTTAACTACCTGTAAAATGGTCTCCAGTCGAGCCGATCGAGATAACCCTCCTTTTTTTTATTACTTTTCAATATTTATTCAACTCTCATGGAAGTACTTTATATTTAGTATCTCCCCCATATCTTTTGATTTACTGTATTAGAATTTTAAATCATTTTTTTCTATTTACTATACAGTTAATTAAAGAGGATAATTTGGGAAATTAATTTAAGTACGAACAAATTTTATTTGTATTTTCAAGTGGACCACTTGAAAAGAATTTGCAGCAATCATTCAAATGCGTTGGGGATACTTGAAATAAAAGTCAATAAAAGATTAAAAAAAAAAAAAAAAAAAAAAGTTCCCATGGAAACCAAATAAAAAATTGATAGCATGCTCTTGTGCTATTAAAAATAATATATAAAATGCAATAAATTTTTTTTTTTTTCATCTCAATTGTCGAAAATCATGCCATATATAGAAACCGAAATCCATTTACTATAATATTAATTTATTTATCGAGTAAAGGGAATTGAATATTGATGAATTCTATGTTTTTTTGAAAAACCAGAGGCACATCCAGAGAGGTTCAATTCACGATTGAGGAACAAAATGTTTTATGGACAAATGGGTGGTAAGGATTTGGTGCGTAGAAAATGGAAGGATCTCTCAGAATTTGTGACCTTGGAATGCGATGGAACTGACATGACACCAAAATTAAAGGAGCATCGTGTTCATGCTATCGTTTTCCTGAATATCGCTTCATATGGAGGTGGAACACATCCCTGGGGAGGTGGAATCGGCAAAGAGCCATCGACTGATGATGGTCTCATTGAGGTCGTGGGTCTCACGACATATCAGCTTCCACTTCTTCAGGCCGGTGGTCATGGAACGAGTATTGCGCAATGCAGCAAAGCTAAACTCATTACAACAAGAACAATTCCCATGCAGGTATTTGATAATCTTAATTCCTTTGTATTTCTTGTATTAAAATTTCTGTTAATAGAGGAATTTCTCGTTTATACACTAATGTGACTTGAGGCAAATTCATTGAAAATTTAAATTTTGTCTCTATAATTTGAAATTCCTTTCACCTTTTGAAGGATTTCCTTTTGGAGAAATATCAATAAATCTAATGAATTATTTTAGGAGTTCAGAAATTAGTTTTATTTGATTTTGAATGTTTCTTTTCATTAAAGGTTGACGGTGAGGCGTGTCGTTTGTTACCATCAATCATCAATATGAGTTTATTGAATAAAGCAACAATGCTGGCCAAGAGAAGAAGTTCTGGTAAGCCGTATGTTGCAAAATTGGAGAGGCTCAAGCTACCGGTGATGATGATTAAAATGTCAGACTACGAGACCTTCCATTCTGATAAGGAAAGACTGAAAATGACTGCGATTCAATGGTTGGCTGATCCTCTCGATTTAGATGCGACGACTGATCTTGAATCCTTAAGGAATCTACTAGCCAAGGATCATCCTATGGACACGTGTTGTTTCCTCGATTGTAAGTTTCTTATAAATTTCTATTTTGCTTCTTTTAAAATAAAAATCCCTTTTGAATTATTCCATTTCTTATTGATATTCTGATTATAATTAGATATTTAAATCAATTGAATTATCCTGCAATTCAATAAAAAAATTAATTTAATTAAATTACTGTAATCGAATTTTTAAAGTTGTCGAAAGTTTTATGAATGAAATTGAACATCAACTGATTATTGAAAGTAATCGATCACTGAACCCCCCGATCTTGTTTACGGAAACTGAAAAGGATATTCGAGGAAATCAGATTTAGTATAAAATAATTTCATTTAATTGAAACGATTCCTCTAGATTTTGATATTGAGATGATTAGTTCACATGATCTGGTTTGTAAATTGGATTTATACTTAGTTTGTTATAGATTGAATGTTGAGATTAAGATTCGTTTTCTTCTAATTGATTTGAAATTTAGAATTTAGTGCAAATCTTATCAAAGATTTTTGGGATAAATTTAATTTTAGATTAAAGAAAATAATTAAATTTCGATGATTAATGTTGGTAATCTAATTATTTTTCCGTCTAAATCGCCTATGTCTAATTATCTAAATGATTAATTACATTTTTATTTCCCCCGGATAATCTGGATAATCATCTTAATATAAAATCAATTAATTCGTTAATCCCTCTAAGATAAAGAAATTTAGAGAATAATTTGTAATTTCAGTAACCCGGCAAATTAATATTTAAATAATTGAATTAGGTTCTTGAATAATTAAATTTAGCAATCAAATTACTAATTAAATATTCAAATAATTAAATTTAATTCGATAATTAAGCTATCAGAATTATTAATTCGATATTCGAATACATTTTAAATTGGACACGGGAATTATTAATTAGATATTCCAACAATTAAATTTAATTAGATAATTAATTTGTCAGATTTATTAATTATATATTCAAATAATTAAAATTAGATACTGGAATTATTAATACGACATTTGAAAACGATTTAAATTGAAAGCTGGAATTATGAATTAGATATTTAAACAATTAAATTTAATTAGATAATTAATTTAACAGACTTATTTATTATATATTCAAATAATTAAAATTAGATACTGGTATGATTAATTAGTTTTTCGAAAACGTTGTATATTAGACACGGGAATTATTAATTAGATATTCAAACTATTCAATTTAATTAGATAATTAATTTATCAGATTTATTAATTATATATTCAAATAATTAAAATTGGCACTGGAATAATAAATTAATTATTCGAAAAATTGAATTCAATTAAATAATTAGATAATTAATTTATCAGATTTATTAATTATATATTCTAATAATTAAAATTGAACACTGGAATTATTAAATAAATATTCGGAAAATTAAATTTAATTAGATGCTAACCTTATCAGATTTATGAATTAGATATTAAAAAAATTGAATTTCTTCAATGACCAAATTGAATATTATCATATAAAATAATTAAATATTTTTCTTTAAATTCACTAATAAAATTAATTAAATAAAGAAAATTAATTAGACAATCGTTTCGAAAGAGTATTTCAGATTTAGACATTCAATTTGAAATTAGACAATTACAAAGAAGATTTCTGATTTAGAGGGTTTAATTAGATAATTCAAAAGAGGATTTCCAACCTAAACGATTAATTAAATAAATTGCCTAGAAGGATTTGAGAATTGGATAATTGCAAAGAGGATTTAAGATTAAGTAAGATGATTATAATTACATTATATATCCCCCACAAATCGATATAATTGATTAATTAGATATAATTAGCTAAAGCTTATTTCGAGTGACAATTTTTGTTTTTTTTTTTTAATTTAACAGCTTGCACAGCAGAAAGATTCTTTAGGATAGATAAAGCTCAAGAGCAGTTACATTACGTCACGGACGTTGCTGTTGAAGCTGTTTACGTCCTTCAGGAGAGTACATCTCATCAGGAAACGGGAAACAAATCTCAAAGTGCAACGAATTCTCAACGATTATCAAGGTTTGCTAATTTAGTATTGAATTTTTTTTTTTGATATTTATAGATATCAGTTTGTTGATTTAATAATTTCCTTCACCGATAAATATTCGCTATTGATGAATTCTTTGATTGATTGTTTCATTGACTGACAAATTGTGTGATTGATGTGTTTGGCTCATAAATTTCCCCTCGTTTTATTGGCTTCACATTTTTTTGAATTTTCTTCACTCGATCAAGATATTTGAATGAAAATTTAATTTAATTAAAAAATTCCAATATCAAAAGTCAAGGGGAGAAAATTAAAGGGAAAATTATTGTTAATTATACAAATATTGAACAATGTTTTGAAAAAATAAGAAAAATTGTCAAATAAACCTAAAAATAAAAAGTGATTTTCAGTGAAAGTCGTACAAGAGTTAATCGAACGGTAACGGACGAGAAGATGCGTCCAGAAAGTAGATCCCGAGAGGCTTCAATACCGGAACCGATTTCAGAAAATAGATCTGCCTCTAGACTGGAATCTGTTTCAAAAATTCGTGAGCATAGTAGGCAAGCGTCGAGGAATTCCCATCTTTCGACGAGGGATTATGAGAATGAAGACAAATTTCCCCAAGGACCATCAAAGCAAAGCTCCACCTCCAAGTCCCATTTGGCTGCTGGTCAGTCGCACAATACTCCTTCTTACATAAGGTTAGTATTATTAATATTAAAATTAGTAATTAAATAAGAATTTTGCAATTGAAAATTAATTAATTTTTTTTGTGCAAGGTTGTGAATTAAGAAAAATCAAAATGGAATTTTGTTTTAAAAAATTCTAATTATTTGATTCTAGCCCGCAGGATAGACTATTTAGCCTAGATTCCGAGGTTCATATGTTTCACACTGGATTGACGTCAAGGCCATGTGATGGTGTGATAAGAGCTGCAAAAATGGGCGATCTTCCCGCTCTGAAAGCACTACACAATCAGGGATTCTCACTCCTGACAACCGATGCAAATGGCCAAACTGCCCTTCATCTGGCTGCATGCCTTGGTCACAGGGATATCGTCAGATACCTCATTGCCTGTGCTCCTCCCTCAATTATCAATATGACTGATAATGACAAGTAAGTCCACTATATAGTTTCATCGATCATTTAATTTTTTTTCATTAAAACTAATTTTTTTTTTTATTTAATTACCCAGGGGACAGACTGCCCTTCACAAAGCAGCCGAAAGCAAATTTCGTTCAATTTGCTGCATGTTGGTAGCAGGCGGTGCCAATTTAACACTTCAAGATCGAAAAGGCAATGTACCAAGGGACATAGCAATGAATGCCAATGATCGTGAACTTGCCGCTTATCTTCATAGTGAGTTTACAAAATCAGTACAATATTCAGTACTTTTGTAGTTTAGTAAAATTGTTCCTGCAGTTCTTAAAAGACAAAATATATTTATTTTCTCAAAGTTGAAAATACTGCGCAACTAGAAGCAAAAAGTGTTTTTGCAGTTCTTAAAAGACAATATTTATTTTTACAATTTGAAAATAACGGCTATTTTAACAAAGAGAGGGGACGCAGCGCGCGCAACTTTAGGGAAGGGGAATAACCAATCACCGATGTTTCCCTCACCCCCTTTAGCAGCCGCGCAGTATTTTCACAAATAAATTATTAAATTAATTTTTTTTACGCCCTGAAATTAAAAAAAAAAGAATTATTTTTTTATTATTCTGACAATAATAAAGAAAAGAAAAATTTTTCTTTCAGGTCAGGAACAATTCCAAATGGTTACAGGGGACATGGACAATCTTCCATGACCTCGTGAAATTTGCGCGCGAGCGTAAATACAAAAATTTCAAAGAAATGGAGATTAATAATTTTAAAATAAAAAAAATTTCGACTTTTTTCAAATTGTACGTCAACAGTTGAAAAAAAAAAATTTTTACTGTGACGGATACTCGTGATAATCCGAATCCTTAGACACACACACATATATTATATATAAATATATATATTGTAAAGGCTCTTTTTTGTAGGCTATACAATTAAATAGCAAAAAACGGTCTCACTTATATAGTTAAACGAAAAAAAAAAAATATACGAAGTTGGTAAATTTTTTCAATCGCTAACGAACTACGTATAACGCATATACATTTTAATAATATCGTACACACATTTTTTGTCTTCTTCTTCTACTTAAAAAAAAAGTAAAAAAAATGCGCAATCATTTGTCACTTTTTGGGAACGGTATAAAAAAAAAAATTTCATGAAAATCATTTGGCGATTTTTTTTTTATTTTTTGTTCATTTGACAACGAAAAATATTTTTGTCACAATTCTCATGTTTTCTGCGATAGAATAAATTTTTTTCCAAATCGCCGATTGATTTTCTTTTTCATTGGGCTTTGAATTACAGGGAGACATTTTTTTTTTAAATTTAAAAAATATATTTCATTTTCAGTGGAATGTTAAAAGAAATAGAGATTAATAAATTAAAAAAACGAATTAATTTATTGCAAACAAAATTATTTCTGTAAATTTATTAAAATAATTTAGATATTTTATTGAAAAGATTTAAGAAATTTTTTCAAAGGAAACTTTTAACTCCATTTAAAGAGGATAAAGTAGAATGATATAAAATTTTTCCTAATATAGAATTAATTATAAAATTTAATATTCCATTATTAATAAAATGATCTGAACGTAAAACTTTGAACAACACTGAAACCTCTCAAATGTGACACTAATTTTATCATTAACTAATTAAACAGATTTGACTGTATTTAAAAATTAAAATTTCAACTAATTTTCCACCTTGATTGTGAGGCTCAAAAACAATTTAATAAAAAAAACTTAACAAAACTATGTAAATAAATAATTTAAATTTTAATTAAAATGCGACTATTAAATTATATAAATTACATTTTTTACTAAAATTCATCAAAAATTTAAACATTGATAAAAATAGAAAAAATTTATAAATATGTATATCTAATTCAACTACAATAAATTTTTATAAATAATTTTCAATGCACCAACTAATTAATAAAATTTCACTGCAAATTTTGAAAATCATATTTTTTTGTAATTAAAAAAAAAAATTTTTTTTGTCTCTCTGTAATCCAATAAGGGATTTGAATAAAAAAAGAAAAAAACAGTTCGTTGGTCGCTTCGAGGTAAAAAGAAAAAAAAATCTTCAAGTTGAACAGGAGAAAAAGTATTAAATATTGAATGGAAAAAAAAAATTCAAAGTATCCTTTTTTTTTAAAAAAAAAGAAAAGGATAGACATAGAATTTCCATATGTCTATTTACTAGTCGTATTTAAAAGAAATGAAAACAAAACAAAAAAAAACCAAGAATTATTCGGTACCAAAATGAAAAAATGGGGATCAACGTACTAACACCAATTAGTTCTTAGAAGGCGGTCTATCGCCACCACTATTATTACTACTATTGCTAAACTATTTAATCTAATTAAGAGTACTATTATTATTATTATGAATTATTATTAATATTATTAATATAATTATTATAATTATTATAATTTTTATAATTATTATTATAATTATTATTATTATAATAATTATAATTATTATTTTTATTAATAATAATAATAATATTATTATTATTTACCAGCCTATGTAGGGAAAACGTGCAAGTAATTCCCATGTCTTATAATATATTTAAATAATAATTATATAAAATTGTTTTTTGTGACAATTCGACGAAATGCATAATTATAGACTGTAGGAAGTTTTATGGTATAATTATTATTATAATCTTTAAATCTTTATGAGGCCAATGAACGCAGAACAAGGGGGAATATTATTTATTTATTTTTTTTTCTGTTTCTTTTTTTTTCATTTCAATTTCCACGAAAGTGCATCGCAACACTCTCGTTAATTACTGTAATTAGCGCGTACTTTTCAATGCCACAATCGTATTTAGAAATTAGTGCGAAAAAGCGTTGATGTCTCTGATTTTCATTTAACAAAAATTTTATTCATCGAAAACAAATGAAAAATGATCAATTATATATATCTCTGTTAATTATTTTATTTCATGAAAAAATTTGATAATTCATTTGGGAATTAATTAAATTATTAATTAATTAATTGGGAATTAATTAAATTAATAATTAATTAATTGGGAATTAATTAAATTATTAATTAATTAATTGGGAATTAATTAAATTATTAATTAATTAATTGTATCTAATAATTAAATAATAACCATTAATTTATGGTATCTATTAATTAATTATTAAATTTCAAATTAAATTTATTGACTAATTAATTAATAAGATGTATATTTAATTGACAATGTAATTAATTAATTCTGAAATTAATTAATTGATTATAAAACTAATTAATTTCATTCTTACATTACTAATTAGTTAATTAATTTTTAATAGTCTAAATAATTAGATAGTAAATTATATAATTCATTAGTTAATTATTTAATTAATTAGTTACTTATATCAAAATTTATTCGTTAATTAAATTACTGATGTAGCCAATTAATTAATTGTTTGCAAATAACTAGTTAATTAATTAGATATAATTAATTGTCTAATGAGTTATTTAATTAATTGCCTACAAATAATTAGTTAATTAATTAATTAGATGATTAATTGTTTAATGAGTTAATAATTTAATTAATTCTAAATAATTATTTCGTTAATTACAATACTAATTAGTTAATTAATTAATTTCCATCAAATAATTAATTAATTAATTTTTCAACTGCCAAAATAATTAGTTAATTAATTAGTTAATTGATAAATTGCCTAACTAATGAGTTAATTAATTAATTAATGGCCTAATTAATCAGTGAATTATCTAACTAATTAGCTATTTAATTTGATAATTATCTTAATTATAAGTCAATTACCTTAATAATAATTTGACTGATTAATATTTAATATAAAATTTAATTAACTATCTAATTAATTAATCAATTATTCAACTAATTGACAAATTAATTAACTAAATAATTACCTAATTAACTAAATAATTAGCAAATTAACTAAATAATTATCGAATTAACTAAATAATTAGCTAATTAACTAAGTAATTTGCTAATTAACTATGACTTTATAATTTTTCAAATTATCTAATTAATTGTTTTAATAAAAAATTTATTTCTTTTAGTTTTAAAAAAATGTACCAATTGATAAAAAAAAAAATTAACTCGAATTTGTGCCAAGATTTTTTGCAAGGTTTTCAAAAATTTTTGATAATGAAAAACGAGACATTTACAATTTACAATGTGTCAGGACAATTGTTAATAACTGTTATTAAAAAAAATGAAAAATTAGGTACAATGCATCATATCGAATTAAAAAAAAAAAACTTTCTTATAATAAAGCCTTCAAAGTACGTCGCGCGCGCGGTATAAATTTTATTCGTGATAATATAATAAATTTAAAAAAAAAGAATAGAAATATTTATAAGAAATAATTAATTGCAGAATATAATTAAACTTATTAAATCAATCAAACAATTCATTATTAAAAAAAAAAAATTATTTCATTTTTATCAAAATTAAAAAAAAAATGTTTTCAAATAATTTTACAATGATTATTTAATTATAAAATATTCAAATATCATTAATATTAAAATTTACATCTAAATTTATTAATTAATAATTTTGTAATTTATTAATATAATTTTATTAGAAATTTTATTTTATTTTCATAATTACAAAAATTATATTGTAAAAAAAATTTTAAAATGTGTATATTATAGATAAAAATTATAAAATTTTAATATTACTATTATTTTAATAAGAAAATGAAATGATACAATATTTAATTATATACGACAATTATAAATTCCAGAAATGTGATTTAATTAAATGTAAAATGTAAAATTGTGATTTAGTTTTAATTTGTACAAAGTTTTTAAAATAGCAAAAAAATTGTCAAATAATAGTCGAGTGTTGAAAAAAAAAATATTTAAATATTTTAAGAATTTGAAAATTATATAAAATTTTTAAAATAAAAAAAATTATGAAATATTTTAAAACAAAAAAAAATTATGAAATATTTTAAAACAAAAAAAATTATGTAATGTTTTAAAATATTTTTTTTAATATTTTATAATTATTTTAAAAATATTTTTAAAAAACTAATTTGAAAAAATTTCTTGAATAAAAATTTAGAATTATATAATAAATAATTTTAATATAATTATTGTAATAATAAATAATTTTCATATTTAAAAAATATTTTAATATATAGTTTGGAGAATTAAAAATTAGAATATGTAGAAGGATTTAAAAAAAATAATATATAATTAGGAAGTACATTTTAAAATGTAAAAAAAAATATTTTAAAATAAAATAATATAAATTATTATTAAAATATAAAGGAAAAAAAATTAATAAAATTTATACCGTTCGATGCAGCTATCACTGTATATTATAAATACGCATGATATTATTATAATTATTATAATATAATATCTAAAAAAAAAAATTGTACTCTCACATCACATCGAGCGCAAAATGCGCTCTCGAATATATTAAAATTAGAAAACGTATAATAATAATAATAAATTAATTATTTGCGAGTACTTAACGAAAAATGCCTTCTATGGTCCATATATATATATATAAATAAAATATACTAACGATTATTATCGTAGGTTATTACGATCACTTTATAGATGGAAAAAAAACGTTACTCATTTATTCAGGAGAATGTGTGCCATATGAGACAGCAAAAAAAAATTTACTCTTAAAATTAAGTTTAATTTCAAAAAAAAAAAATTGTGTGTACGAATGTGAGAAATAAATTCTTGTGTCAATATGATAATACAAAAAAAAAGAATACTAAAAATCTGAGCGGATGATTAAAAAAAAAAAAAAAAAAATTGTTGCAGAATGAAGAAAAAGTAAGAAAAAAAAACACAGTATTGCCTTTCTCAAAAAAAAACGAGTTTTTTTGACGTGAAAATAATATTTTCCCTTTAATTTTTTAAATATTTTTTTAGAAAACAATAAATTCCAGGACAATCACAAAAAAAAAAACAATTTTCCCGTCAAAAAATCTCGTTCAATTTTCATTTTTCTTTCTACTTTTTCTTTTCTTTTTTACTATATACGAGAAAAAAAAAATTCTCGCGCTAATTAAAAAAAAAAAAAAAAAATTTTCCCTCATCCTTTCCATGTGAAAGAGAAAAACAGAGAGACCCAAAAATAAAAAAAATCAAAATGTTTCTATATTTAAAAAAAAACTTTTTGGATTTTTTTATTTATTTTTTCAAATTTTTTTTTTTAGAATGTTTAAAATAATTTTTACAACTTTTTGGGTCTATCTATAATAATATCATTCTACAAAAAAAAAAAATGCATTCTATTTGCATTTTCTTTATTGATTCCTTCTTAATACAGGGTAAAGAATTCGGGACGAGCTAAAAAAAAGAAACAAATTTATTTCGCGGAAGAATGAATTTTTTTCTCAATTGTGCAAAAAAAAAAAAAATTTTTTTTTAATTAATAATTATTTAATGTTTAATTTCGAAAAAAAAATTTTTCCCTTTTTTTTTGTCCCTCAAAAATTGTAAATAGTTTAATGTAATTTATTTTGTTTTTTGTAATATTTATTAAGAAATTTAGTGCTTCCAATTTAATAGAAAAAAAAATTACTAAACTATATAGCTCGTCCCTCCGTCTCAAAAAAAAAAAAAAACCAACAAAAAAACTCCAAGGGGGTGACGAGCGAGGGTCGAAAAATGCGTTCATGAGCATTTTTCGAGAATCGCAGTCAAAAAAACGAAAAAAAAAAAAAATTTGAAGCGATACATATATAAGAGTGAGAGAGAATGAAAAAAATTTGTTACGGGTTTCGAATGAACCCGCTCGACACCCACTGTGATATATTTTTAATTTTTTTTCAAATTTTTTTTTTAAACTCGCTTTTTGAACGTAAAAAAAAAAATTTGCAAATAATTTTCCTTAAAAAAAAAAAAAATTCTATTAAAAAGAAAATATTTTCTAAAAATGTGAAAAAAAAAAATTTTTTTTTTCGAAAAAAAGCGAGTTCCTTCTATTTCTATACTCTTTACTGACAAACACCAAATGGATATGAATGTAAATTGAATTTTTAGCTATAATAATTCTTAAGTTGACGTATTTTAAAATACGCGGCCTGTTGATACAATTATAAATATAAAAAAAAAAAAAATATTAAAATACAAAAAAACCAACTAAATCGTCATATATAAAAATAAGAGATTGCGATTATTCTGATAATGTTAATATTATAAATAATTAAAAAATATATAAATATTATATCCTATGCCGTTTTAATTAAAAAAAAAAAAAAAAAAAAAAATAGTTAAATTTAACTATCTATACTCTTCTTTAGAGAAAAAAAAAATTCTTTTCTACTCTGTTTTTAAAACAAACAAACAAACAAACAAAAAAAAACACTGCAATTTTCAAGAAAACATCGTCGTCCGCCTTCACTTCGAATTTCCTATTTAAGAAAAATAAAATATTTTTTTCGATAAAAAAAAAAGAAATATGTATAAAAAAATGTTATATTCCACTGATACCATATATAAAAAGAAATATATATATAAACATGAAAAAAGAACCAAAAAAAAATATATTGTCAAACGCGTCGTAAAATCAATTATTTCTATTGCACATTCGTGATATTATACAAAAAAAAGATCCGTTCGTCGATATATTTATTATTGTACAGATTACACGCTAATGAAATTTAAAAAAAAAAACTTTTTTCAAGTAGAATCACTAAAATCGATTCATTCTTAGAACTATTTAAAAAAAAGAGAGAAAGAGAGTTATTGTTATTAATGTTACTATCGTTGCCATTTTCTGTAATTAGAATTAAAAAAAAAAATTATTTATCATTCGTTATCACGAATTTTGTTTAGTTTAGAAAAATCATCTCATTATTTTTTTAAAAATTATTTTTATTATTATTTTTATTATTATTTTATTATTTTTTTTATTATTATTATATTATTATTTTTTTTATTATTATTATTTTCATTATTTTTTTTATTTTTATTTTTATTATTATTATTATTATTATTATTATTAAAATCATTTATCATTGAAATGTTTGTCGACTAGGCGAGAGATTTCGCGCTTGACGACAAATCGTCTCGGTACTTTCCAATGGAATCTCAACGTACTTCGTATATATTATAATATCTATTTATGGTACTCGTTATAGTTACTATACGATATATTTGAATCGCTATATTTTCCTCGATTAACGAAAAAAAAAACAAAAAAAAAAAAAAATTTGTCTCTAAAAGTTTATGAAATTTTACGAAAAATAAAGCACTTTACGATAGCAAAAAAATGTTGTTGTTTTCTCATTTTTTTTTGTTTAATATATTTTAAATTTCGCAAATTTATTGTCAAATTCGTAATCAGCGACCACAAAAACCCCCGAGTAACAAGTTTCAAGTAAAATAGTTTGATTTTTCAAAAATGTCACCGCCATATTGGATCCGCCATTTTGAATTTTCAAAAACTGACTTTAGATTCGTAATCAGCGACCCCAAAAACCCCCGAGTGACAAGTTTCAAGCAAATTTGAACAATTTTAAAAAAATTGCTACCGCCATTTTGGATCCGCCATTTTGAATTTTTTAAAACTGACAGTAGATTTGTAACCAGCGACCCTAAAAACCCCCGAGTGACAAGTTTTAAATAAAATAGTTTGATTTTTCAAAAATTTAACAGCCATATTGGATCCGCCATTTTGAATTTCGAAAATTTATTGTCAAATTCGTAATCAGCGACCCCATAAACCCCCGAGTGACAAGTTTCAAGTAAAATAGTTTGATTTTTCAAAAATTTAACAGCCATATTGGATCCGCCATTTTGAATTTCAAAAATTTGTTGTCAATTTCGTAATCAGCGACCCCAAGAACCCCAGAGTGACAAGTTTCAAGTAAAATAGTTGGATTTTTCAAAAATGTCACCGCCATATTGAATCCGCCATTTTGAATTTTCAAAAACTGACCTTAGATTCGTAATCAGCGACCCCAAAAACCCCCGAGTAACGAGTTTCAAGCGAATTCGATCAATTTTTTAAAAATAACGACATTTTGAAACCGCCATTTTGAATTTCGAAAATCTGATGTCAAATTTTCTTAAAACCAGTAACTGACAAGTAGGTGAGTAAAATTTCAAAAAGAATACCATATATTTTTTTAACAAAAACAAATTTTTAATACAGATTTAGACATTTTACAATAAAATTGGAGAAAAACATTTGTTTTTTTATAATCTACTAAAAAGTTGTTAAGTGAAAAAAAATTCCCCGACGAAGCCACAAATCCCTTTCGTCCCTTGGACAACCAACAGGTAGGGAACAAATTAAAAAATTTCTTTGTGAATCACTATAAACAGGAACATTCAAAAATTCATCGTCCTCTAATTTTAAGTCTTCTGAAATTTCCAAATTTTCATCATTTTCCTTGGGTAGATAAGCTATTTGACAACCCGGAATTGCTATCACTGGTGCATCATCCATTGTCACTTGTTTCAAAAATCCTTTCTTTATTGTTGCACCTAAAAAAAAAAATTTTTTTTTTTTTGCTACTATAAATAGAAAGGAAATAGCAAAAGGAAATGTAAAAAAAATTATACAAAACCTGTCAATAGAAGACCATCGATAGTAATCGAAGTATTCCAATTTTCTGCTGTTGTACTCTCGGACCAATTGGCAGAGAGTCGAAGATTTTCCAAAGATTTTCCACATTCTCTAGCTGTAAATTGTTTCAATGCCGCTAAAAATGCTCGAGGTCTTGCGAACCAAAATAAATTCACTCTTTTTGGAAGTGAAGAATTTAGAGAATTTAGTGACTGATGCCTGTTTATCAATCCATTGACAAATGGAATTATTTCCAATGGTCCAGTAGGCCATTCACTACTCCAACGTTTTGGTACCTAAATCAAAAAAAAAATTCACCTTCCACTAATTTCAAAAAAAAAAAAAAAAAAAAAAAAACCCACCTTCATTCCCTCAATATGTAACGATTCAATATCAGATTGTACAATTCTCAATAAATTCACTGCCACATTGTTTTCATCTTTAAAAAATTCATTTAACGGATTTTGATTTGTTCCCTCCGTGGGTTTTACATCAGTAAGACACTGATTAATCCAATTCTTCAAATCTCGTTCAGTTTTTGTTTCAATTTTTCGATGTTTCTTATCCTCTTTACTCGAAACTCGAACCACGATATCTAAAAATTTCAAAATTTAATTCCCAATCCAAAAGAGGGCAAAAAAAATAAATTTACCTTTCAATAATGCTAACGCTCTTTTCGAAGCCGATTTCTCCCATGTTCTATGAGCATTCGCTGGTAATCCAAAATAATCTTGTGGCGATTCTAAATCATTAAGACGATCAATAGAACGCACAGGATCTCCCAATGTTGCCTCTTGAACATTGAGAATACCACCCAATTTTTGTTGACCTCTATAAATTTCATTACACCAAATATTTCGTAAAATTGATCTAAGTGCTCTCATATCGTAATCATCCTGTAGACGACCACCATAAACTGCCACATCCAAAAGTCCCCTACCCTCATCCCAATCGTCATTATTTGTTTTCACTACCAATTCACAAGCTGCTTCAAGATCAGCCTCACTCCAATCGTATTCTTTAATCCAACCCTGTGGTACAAATTTTCTACGTTCTTGTAAAATTGCATGCAACCATGATAGTAGAACAATTTTCTTGCTATCGCCCAATTCGGATTGTTGAACAAGTTGTTGTAGGGATTTTTTCACATTTCTCTTGACACCCTCCGGTGGTTCGTAGGCTAATTTTAGACAAAGTCCCGCTAAACCTGGATAGAATCCTAAACATTCCTCGGTTGTCAACCAAATTCTCGTGCTTGGATTTTTGTCAACTGTACACATAGGAGAACGTAGAAATCCCTCAAGACGAGGTAACCAATTCAAAGCTAATTGAAGATTACTCAAGAGGATCCAACTCCCGTTTCTAAAAACGAGATATTTATTTGATTCTTGGAATTAGAAATGGAATTCTAAACTTACCTGCACGCTTCCTGAAGAGCAGCTTCGGCCTGATTCACTTGACCCTGACCTAGGGATACCTCAATAAACCCAGCAGCTTGTGATACATGACCAGCGGCAAGGGATTTTAATTCCGGACACGGATCAGCTCCGGGAGACAGTAACAATAGCACAGGATATGTTCCCGATTCCTCTGCCACTGTTTTTAGAGTCCATGTAGGTGGAGCTAAATTTCTAACACCTAGCAAAAAACAATTTGATCAATTTTCTTCCAGTGAATCGAATTTTTAAAACAGTTAAAATTACCAAGCTGATCAGCTGCCCATTTGGAGAGAGCAGCATGTAGATGATCAGGTCGAATTGCTTGAATCACCAACACCTTCTCAAATGGACTAATAGTGTTCTCAGCGTAAATGTGACCTACATCTTCAAACCAACTGGCTTTCATTTTCGATGCTATCTAAATTTTTTCATTTAACACCAAATAATTCAATAAAAATAGCAATGGGATTACAATATCAGAACCTAATTAAATTTTACCTGAGGCAATGTTGATGTCAGCGCCCTGACTCCAACTTTCCTCTCCTCAGGAATCCAATCCGGTGTTTTAAATTCCGTAGAATTATTTACTGCCAAATTTTCTCCATTTAGTAGTAAATTTTTTTCCGCTTCAGATACCGGTGAGATTGTCAACGCTAAATGAAGAGCTAAAGCAAGACGATGTTTTCTGTACGCAGTTTTCGTACAATGATGTAGTGTGAGTGCCACTAAACTGAAAAGATTAATTTTCAAAATTAATACTTTTTTAAATAAACAGAATTAGGCTAAAAAATCTAATTATAACAGAATTTTAATTACCTTTTCTCGAGATATTTATCCCTTTCGACTTTTTCATCAGCTTTAAGAGAATTACGATCTTTCTCCGCATCCAAATAAATATCAGTTAACGCTTCATTGGAGAAGACATAAAGTGGACTTAGGGAATTCAAAAATTTTACAGCCTTAAAGAAACTAGCGGCAAATTTGGCAAGTTTCTCATGTTCCTTCATTCTTCGTGTAACATCCTCGAAACTGTGTCTACTCTCCTCTAGTGCTAGTGCAATTTCCTTGGCTTTCGACTGTGTTGCCTCCAAAGATGACAATAAACCACCTTCCTGTAAAAGATCCTGTCCCTTAGCTGCTCCCAATTGAACCAAAAGATCCAATCTAGCAGCATCTCGTTCGCCAGCCAATTTCTCTTCCTTCTCCAACGCCTCCCTTCGTTGAACTTCTATTTCCGGTGTTTCTTTTAAAATCACCTTCTCTATGAATTTCTCCGCCAGACTTCTAGTACCAGCGCCAAGGGTGAGTCTAAATAAAACTGCATCAGCCTCACTTGGAAGACCGTCTAATCGTTCTCTTCTAGTCGCAAGGAATAACTGAAATCCATGCTGACAGGAAAGAATTCTATCTCCTAATCTAAGGGATCTTCTTCGAAGCAAAGGAAGTAGAATGGAGGGAAAATTAACAAGATCCTCTACCAGAAGGGGTTTTCCAAATCTCACGGCTAATTCGACTGTTGTCAAGAATTTGGTATCATCCGGTTTTGTAACTTCAAGCCTGGATCCTAAGTTCGATCTTAACCAAGCAACAGCCACGCCAGAGGGATCAATAAAAATAGGAACCAACGGTCCTCGGAGAGCACAAGCAGCACCCACCAAACTTCCAGTGTCAATTGGTAAACCCTGAGCTCTCCATAGTAAACGTTCTCTTTCATTAATCAACAAATCCAGCACTGATCTCCTCCAATGATCATCCTTACTAGGATCCTGATAAACCAAAAGTGAAGCAGCATCAGCGGCCTCAACAACCAAAATTGTCTTTCTAGCCGTAAGTGCCTCAAACTGATTCTGCCAATCACAGTGTTCTGTGTCAAGTTTCTGCAAAAGTGCCCTAGCAGTTGCTAAACTAGCTTCAGTCGCTTCTGATTTCAACTGAAGAGCCGCAGCACCCCTAGAATGAGCTGCTAAATGTTCCTGGAGCTGTGCAACTTTACTCTCAACAGTATTAAGACCTTCGGATAATTTTCCAAGTTGTGCTTCAGCAACAGCTAAACTCTGCGCCAAGGCTCGCTGTTCCTTCTCCAAAGGTGCAACTTGTTGCAAAATTTGTCCATACTGCAGATTGGCAAGTACCCAAGCAGCTAAAGGAGCCGCTGCCACCGAAGCTCTTTTCGCCGTCTTCTCCTCAAAACTCTCATGTCGTTCTTTTACAAGCTTATCAACAGCCTCTAAACTTGCCGGAGTACTACGTCTAGCGTCCCATGATCTAATTTCCTCCTTAACACCTCGTTTTGCCAAAAAAGTTTTCATACTATTCCAAGAAGTATCTCTAATTCCCATTAATCTTAAAACACCCTCAAGAACGTCTCGAACAGGCGCTGGAGGTGCTCTCAAGGATCGAACTTCAGAAATTGCATCAGCACCGATTCCCGCAACTGCCTGAGCAGCTTGTTCAACTAGAGGCTCAACGTTACTTAATTCACTTTCAATATCTGCTTTTCGTCGCGCTAATTCCGCACTTTCGCGTTCTGTAGCCGCTTTTAGTGTTGTCATTTCTCCCCTCTGACCAGTGGCACCTCTCATAGTAGCTGTAATTTGCTCCAAAGCTGCATTGGCTCTTCCTTTCTCGGCCTCCAATTCCTGCCGTTGCTTATCCGCCTCCTCTTCCAACTTAGCGACTCTTTCCCCAGCTTCTCTAAGTCTACTAATCCCAGCCTCAAGACTCTGAAGTTTCTCTTCTATCTCCTTAGTCCACTTCTCCCGAAGTTGGCTCCATACATTCAAAAGAGCTAAGAATCTAGCCGGAGCTTGTTGGTGCCGAGAAACCTGTAAGTGAGCCTTAACTAATTCCTTAACACCCGAAGAATCATTTTCAATTTCTACGTCCGTCTGTTGAGACGCCAATTCCATTAGAGATTTCTCCAAAGTCCACCATTCTCTACCCGGCCCGTAACCAACAACTATGCACTGCTTCAAAAGACTTGATCTTGATAACCAAGCAGCGTTCACATCATGAACGTCCAAAATTATGATAACCTTAAGCAGAGTTCGTAAACGATGATAGAAATATTGTTCCAAAGTTCCTGGAAAGTCTTCCCTTCTGGCAAGTTCAGCCAGTGGAGCAACGAGTCCATCTAACTCTTCCGGAGTCAGTAAACCTGGTATTTCACCTTGCGACACGATGGCACCGGCTAGAATCGCTAAACCCTCCTCTCTGATATGATGCTCCTCCAAAAGAAGTATTGTAGCTTCTCCGTCAATTGCGGATCCTTGCACAGCCGCCTTAATCGCCGGCCGTCCTCTACCTGGACCAAAAGAAACCACATTCATCGATAAATACGTACTAACTAATCTCACAGATGACTTGCGTCCAGCACCAGGTTTCCCAATCAGAACAATTCCCCGTTGTTCATTACCCAAAACCCAACTAATTCCCGCAGTCGTTTGTAAAAGATGAGACGAAATCACAGCCTGTAGTGGATCTCCTTCTCTCGCACATTTTGCCGCTGCACCTTCAATCTCCTTCCTCCATGATTCCTTCTCCATTGGTGACAAACCAACTCCTTTCCATACAAAAACGTCATCTAAACCCTTGTCATTCGGTACCCTTGATGTAATTATCATCTCCCACTTTTGAAGATCAATTGCTTTTAATTTAGGTCTAAACAACTGTCGTCCAGAGTATATCAAATAACAGGTAATATCTGATTCATCTTCAGGCAGCGGATAATACCTCAACGAATCAGCCCAAAGAGCCAAATCCTTGTACGACCACCGTGAAGATAAATCCTCCGGAAAAATATTCCCAAACGCCTCTACCATGGCGGGAGCAACTCTAGAAATCCAGGACTCAACCATAACATCATTTTTCTTCAAAGCATTTCTCAAATGAAGTTCCACAATCGCCACCATGTCCTTTGAAGATTGCCGAGGAAGATAGTGTATCATCAAAAGCGCATTTAACCTTGGATGAATTTTCGTATTTAAATCTCCACTGCAAATAACCGATAAAGAAATACTTGCAAACTCTAAATCATCCTCATGAAATCCTCCTTCCTGCAACAATTGTCTAAGAAGTTCCTGTAAATCCTTAGAAGCCAAATGTAGATCTTCCAAAATTAATATCAAACGTGAACCATTTCTAGGTCGATATGTTCTTCCCTGTGACGACGATTCTACCTGAACACAAACCCTTTTTAATCTTGCAATTAAATCCTCTGGTCCATAAAGCGAAGATCCTCTAACAACCACCAAAGATTCTCCCTCATTATCCCTAATTGATGACGAAATCATACCAATCAAAGCCGTCTTTCCACAACCATCGGGTCCTCGTATAAGAACCGATCTACAGCTCCCAATCCACGGAAGAATTATCTCCATTGCCTTCTTCATCGTTCCTGACACATTAACAGGACCACTATCACTCATTACTGATTCATTTGAATTACCCAATGGTTCCAGTCGATCTGTTTCAGGATTATAAAGAATCGAAAACGGTTTTTGTGGATCTGGACACCAACAATCCGTTAACTGGTAAATAGATCGAGCCAACTGATCTCTTTTCTGAGAATCCTTAATCTGACTGCATAAAGGAGCCAATAGTGAAAAAGTTCCCAATGTCTGCGTATGAGCTTTAATCAAATGAGGAAGAGCACTATTTATCAATCCTGACGCCGATGAATATTCTTTATTGATCCTTAACACCTGTTTAATCACACTACTCAAATGGGTATTAGCAATGTCTTTTCCAATAACTGGTAGACCTTCCAAAATACCAGGAGTGATCAGAGAAGAAATTGTCGCTGATCCAAGATGCAAAACTCCAAGTCGTGAAACTGTTGCCGGACTCGCGGCATCAAGTTTATGTGTCTCAAAAATAAATCTTGTACCACTTCCAAGTCTCATTCCAACACCATTAGGAAGTGTCAGTATTCGATTATCATCTAGTGCTGAATTTAAAGCTTCTGCCCATCCTGGTTCAACGTCTCCATTTAATACAATCCAAGTTGGTCCATCGCCAGCTGACGCAACGCCATTTGCCAAAAGTCCCTCTTTCCATTCCCTCGTTTGAGAATCGACTTTTCCCAAAAGCTTCGATTTTGGCATTGCTCCTGGATAGACAACAATTTGTACAATTGGTTGTCCTATCTTTGCAAAAGCTTCAGCTAACAATTTCCTAACTAATGTCTTCCCACTACCTGGAGGTCCAACAATAGCCACACCAGTTCGATTCTGTAATTGATCATTCAACTGTAAACATCTGCTAATGAGGTTTTCTTGCCATCCTCTACCTTCACAGATTTCCATCAAACTTTTTTGTAAATCCACCCTATCTGTTGAATCCACAGTGGATAAATTTATTTTTGGAAATACGTCCTGCAAAAGCCCGAAGAATTTACCTGTATCTTCTTCATTCAATTTGGGTAAAGTTGAGGCTTTAATGGCAATTAATAGCCTCATACTTTCACTTGTATCAGACTTAACATTCGAGGGAATTGAATCAAGAACGGATCTCAATGCCCTGAGACCCCAATCATAGTGAGGCTGTTTGGATAACAATTTCTCTGCAATGTCCATAATCTCCACCAATTGATTAGCAAGATTGGAAGCTTCTAAAAATCCCGCGCATTCCAAAAGGGCTCTAACGATATTTATCTTGTCTGGATGTGCCATTCCAATGGGTCTGAATAGACGAGCTAAAGAGTCTGGTAACTTATGACGACCTCCATAATCATTACTGGCAGGATTCATTGTAATAAAAACACAACAATGTGAATCCAGGGGCACATTTTGTGAACCTAGTGATACATTACTTGCTCCATCTCTCACGGCTTCTTGAAGAGGTCTCACCAACATGGCAACAGCACTAAGCGTCTCTTCCTCAAGACGATTAAACTCATCAAAACATCCCCAAGCTCCAGCCTGAGCAAGTCCTCCAAGAATTCTTCGCATACTTCCAGCATCCATTCCCTCATCACAATTAAAGACAATTACAAGACGTCCCAAAAATGCCCCTAAAGCTTTTACACTTTCAGTCTTTCCAGTACCTGCTGGTCCAGTGGGACTTCCTCCTAAACCCAACTTCATAGCCTGAGTAAGTGCTAAAAAGCATCTCTCCGTCAATGGTGTCCGTACTAAACCCAAAGCAGCCCCTTGATACTCAAACCGATAGGAAAATTCCGCTCCGGCACATTTAATAACCGCTCCATTGCCTCTACGATAACTCCTAAACTGTTTGCTCCAACTCCAAGAAACATTTTCTTTATTTGTCAAAATAGTTAAAAGATTTCTAGTCACCTGCAAATGATGAACCGTATCGAGCAAAAGACCTCTTGCCTTTAGAGACGTCAGCCTATCCCCAGCATCTTCCAGTCCTCTAAACTTCGCCCTCTGCGATTCCAAATACTCCAAAAGTTTTTTAACCGAGTGTTTACCTTCCTTTATAGCAACTTCACACTTTTCAGTAAACAAAATCCTTCCACTGAGAAGTAAAATTTGTGCCGGATACAATGTGGGATCTGCTGATGAATCGGAGAGACATTTGGACAAACTCTGACGTAGGGCATTTCTCATACCTTCTTCTAAATTCTTCAACCACTGAGGCAGCGATTCTGTGGTGTCTACAGGTTGTGGAAGCTTTAACACTTCACCTTCCGGGGAGACAACACTTTTTATCACATTCTTCTCCCTTTCAATTGTCCCAACCCCTTGATAAAGTTTAGGTAACTGTGTCTCGAGTCCTTTTCCAGTTCCTGATACCAATTCCAAAAGATCCTCATCACTTAGAAAGTACAAACGAGGATATGATGATCTTTTCTCCTCCAAGAATTCATCTAAACTTCTCTGACATCTGTCCAGCAGATCCTTTAAATTCGTCAAAGCTGGAAGTGGCAATTTCCTCAAAGACGGAATTCTAGGATCCTTGACAACCTCATTCATAACATATCTAAATTCCTTATCAGCTCTCAACCACTTTCCAGTATCATTAGGTGCTGCCCCACCTCCATAAACAGGTTCCAAATAAACCCATTTTCTCTGCAAAACACTCAAAATTTTGATTCTTTCCTCCAACTCATACAATGCAGCCTCACATCTAGAAGCCCTAGAGGCAAATCTTTCATAACCCGAAGCACCTCTTGCTCCCTCGAGCAAAAGTCTAAGTTCACCGGCTCTTGCCAAAAGGGGTCCATATTCTCCAACCAAAAAGATTCTACTATTCTTACTATCCGTTGATTCTTGCAGAGGAAGTGACGTTGAACCTTCCCAGGCTTCCAACTCAACCAAAGCCTGACGAATTCCACTCTCGGCAGTTGCTCTTTTTGTTATCTCCTTAACACGATCTTCATTCTCCTGTATATTTTTATAACACCTCAACAAATCACCCAAACTAATATCCCTCGTATTAACATTTAATTTCAAAATTGGCTTCAATTCTGCCCAATGTTCCTCGGCCAATTCATCACCGCGAAGAATCTGTATCCATTCAATTGCACTTCTAATTTCGTCTATTCTCTTTTTCACATAGGATTCTGGTAAAACTTTCTTTCTTTCTTGATCGAATTCCTGATCCTTGGAATGAACCTTAAGTCTCGCATCCCATGAATCTAACCAATCGTGAAGTCTAGCTATTCTCCTTCTAGCCACTGACCATTCCTCATCTTCCTGTTTCTTTAACTCCTCAATGAACTCTGATTGGAATTTACAATTCACCTCCTCAGCTTCAAGTTCCGCTTCTAAAGAATCAGCATTATCTTCTTCTTGAAATATTTCCCCGAGATCAATTCCAATTCTTTGACAATCAGATTTTAACGCCTCTTTCTGATTTTTCAAAGTTGTCCACCTTTCCTTCATCGAATCTAACCAGTCGATGGTAATATCCTCCGGCTTCGATGACCATTTAGTTTCCCATCTCTCTCGATCGTCACGCAAAGCAATAGCCTTATGTCGTAGATTTACTTTCGCGTCCTCCACCTGACGAATCATCACCGCTTGATGACGTTGTAATTTGTCGGTTAAACTTTCCCATGTTGCATGTGCGGCACTTATTCCTACAAAAAATAATTAATACAATATGTAGATAATTTAATACCTTCTAATAATTTCCGTAACTACCTTCTAATTTCTCTCGGGTCCAAGCAGCAAGAACTCTTGCCAAACCAGTAACATCGTCTAATTCCTTAGATATTCCCTCTGATGCTTTTTGAATTCGAGAATAGGTCTCATAGGCCAAACCAATTTCTTCAACATTATGCGGTCTCTTGTCCAATTCTCTTGCTGATGCTGATAGAAAATCAACAATTGCCACCAATCTCGATGAAGCTTCTGCACGTAAATCAAAAGACATTCTCTCCCAATATCTTCTTGATGCTGATTCTAAATCATTTCGCGCCGTTGCTGTATCGACGACAACACACCAAATTTTCACATCACTTCCACGTAATTTACCAACTTCCTGTGCCCATTGTTTTGCCTCCTTAAATGCTCGTTCCCATTCCTGAGGACTTTTTCCCTTGAGTCTGAAAAATTAGATTGGGAACAGATTTAACTTACAATTAGCACTGCTATCTCTTAAAATTCAACATACCGCACTGCAATTTTGTTTTCTTTCGGAATTTTTTGTGAAAAGTATAAACTAAAGGACCCATTACAGAGCCCTAAGGGTTAAAAAAAATTACCGACATAGAAATCTACCTTGCCGACTGATGGTAAAACAGGTTTTTGGAAAAAGACAATATAAAAATTACCGACACAGAAATCTACCTTACCGACTGATGGTTAAGAACTTTTTTTTGGAAATTTTACTAACTTTTCAAAACTGTTCTACCATCAGTCGTTAATTACCATCTAACGTAAGGTAGATTTCTATGTCGGTAATTTTTATATTGTCATTTTTTCAAAAAAAAATTACCATCAATCGATAAGGTAGATTCATATGTCGGTAATTTTTATATTAACATTTTCCCAAAAAATTTCTTTACTATCAGTCGGTAATATAGATTTCTAGGTCGGTAAGTTTTATATTAGCATTTTCCCAAAAAAAAAAAATTTCTTTACCATCAGTCGGTAGGGTAGATTTCTATATCGGTAATTTTTTATATTAGTATTTTCCAAAAAAAATTATTTACTATCAGTCGGTTAGGTAGATTTTTAGGTGACCCACGTATATCGGATTTCATGGAACCAAGAAAAATATTCGATGTTAGCCTGAAGAATTTGATTTTGAAAAATACTTACTGTTCGCCAGCGTCAATTTTCGCCGGTGCTGCCAAAGGTATCCATTTGCATCGAAGTGCTTCCAGGGAACTTAAAACCATTTCAGCCTCTTTATAAACACCTCCATAAAGATAGGCGCATCTCTGTACAAGTGTATGAAACTCCGCATCAGATGGATCACCAACTCCACGAAAATTAGTTGGAATTGCTAGAAATCGTCGAATTCCGGAATAAATTTTAGCTCGAATTTCCTCCAAAGTTGGTCTCCATTGTAGAGATCCATAGCGAAATGTTAATTCCACTCGAATCTCTGGTAATTTTTTCATCAACGTCGGAAGAGCTGCTCTGTCATACACAAAAAAAAATTCCAAATGCAAAAAAACCTTTGGTTTATATTTCTAAGGTTAAGGAAATTCGAGAAGCTTTACGAAAAAATAATTTTTAATAGTTTACCTATAGGCAATACTTAATGCCTTCAATAACTGACGATCCCAATGTAATTTCCAAGCTTTTGTATTTCCATATTCAGCTTCCACAGAATCGACAATTGTCCTCATATTCTTTAACGTATCCTTCCAAGTATTTTGATTAACTGCCAAATTCACAGCGTCACCTTTCAATAAATTCGATACCAAATCATTTAATGTTGAATGTTTAGCCGCAAGTTCCGCGTTCTGTTGAGCAAAGAGCTTAACCTAAAAAAAATTGTATCCAAAAGAATTAATAAAAAAAAAAAAAAAACGTTCCTAAAATAATTAGGATGTGGATTTCGAAACAGATGATGCTAATTACAAGGCGATTTAATCGAGCAGTGTAGGCATCAACGGCATGAGGATCGGACCAAACAACTCCCGATTGTTCCTGAACAGCTCGAGCAAGTTCAAGAGCCGCTGACAGCATCAATGGTCTTTGTGATGGTACCATACGATCTCCAATTGTATTATGAAAATTTGCAATCTGCTGAAGTGCTCTGGCTCTACTTGCCAATAATCCAGCTCGTTCTACCAAATTTTTCACTTCCTTAGGTAGCTCCACACCTTGACCGGCCAAAGCTCTGGCTTCTCTGATAAAAGTCGTTAAACGTGGATCATAATTGACTCTCATCATACTTGTTCCCGTTAATTCAACAACTGCTGAATCTGTACCTAACGTGAGTTCCCTGCTTGCTATTGCGTCAGTTGTTTCTGAAATCTGTAGATTTCTTTTTAGAAATTATTTTTTTCTAAAATCAGGTGTCTTAAAAGGTATAATATTGGTTGCCCGCTTTACCAATAAATAAACTATTAAAGGAATAAAGGAAAAGGATTGAATTTCGAGGAAAGTATAAATTTGTAATTTTGTTTAGACATTCACATAAATTATTATTAATTATTCAACTTACAACTGATATCACCTAATCCAAATTAATAACAGAGAAATAGGTAACCAGTGCACAACACTAAACCACTGAGATTACTTTTGTTTTAAAATTGTTTATAACGATCTCTCCAACACTCTTAACGCGTAATAGAGACGACCGATCCGTAAGACAGACGCAAAGCAATTGAATTTAAATATAATGAGAGGAACCAAGTCAAAGCGGAATAGACTATAGCGTCATACGATGAACAGAATAAGGGAAACTATAGTATATAAGGGAAAGACTGTGACTATGTTACAAAGGATTTCAAAATTAATTTCTTTTTTTACCCAATTATCAACGAGTTCTTGTCTCTTTTTTCCAGCGTCTTTGGCAGCAGATGCAACCTTCTCTGCAGCTTCCTCATAACCAGGTAAATCCGCCAGAAGATCTTTTCCCAATTTTTGGAGATTTTCTAATTTTATTTCCGAGGCACGAATTGTTTGAATTTCCTGTAGTATCAAAGGTGTGTCGAGGAGATTTTCTGTATCTGGACCAGCACGACAGGATTCTGGATGAAAATAAAAAAAATATTTTAATTCCATCAAAAATTGGGAAATAATGAAAATCATTTTAATTCCTACCAACTAGATGATTGTAAGCTGACAAAAGTGCTTCACGTTCGCTACGAAGATCTCTTTTAATTCGTTCTCTTTTTATTAATTCTCGATATCTTCTAAATTCCTCAGCCATTGTTGCAGAATTTTTTGCCTCGGCAATTTGTGTTTTCAATTTTTCGGCAACTTTTTTCTCCGCCGGTACTAAACCATCTTCGAATCTTCGTCGCAATCTCTCCCAATCAAAATCCTTGTGATCCTCAGCCAAACCTAAAGCAATTTTTTGATTTGAAAATTTAATTCTTTAAGGATAATAAAATTAAAAATTAAATTTTTCAAATGGTAAATTATTTCCAAAAAAACAACCATCAATGTCACCGAAGCCATCGAGAACGGAATTTGTTCCAAGACCAATTCTTTCTTTCGATGACAAAAGTCTCGTTAATTGTCGATGTTGTGCACGAAATTCGGCAATTTCTCTGTAAATAAAATTTACAAAATAACAGTTATGAAAAAATAATTTAAAAATTAAAAAACAGAATTTTTAATCCAAAAATTAAGTACTTCAATCTGTTTCCTAATTTTGAACATTTTTTTGGTGTAAACGCTGGTCCCTTCCATGGATGAAGAGAATAATGAGGCCAAAATAATGTCGTCAATCTCTCCGATACTGTGATCCATTTTTCACAAGCTGATGCTCCTAATTCTATTGTTTCATCCTTTACTCGAGTTTCAGAAGATTTACCCTATTAATTTTTTTTAATTATTTTTTTGTGACTGGAAAAAAAATGTGAATTTTTTTTTTTAATTCCTTTTTTTTACCCCATTTATTAAATTTTCAACTAGTGTTACGACTTCATTTCCAACAATATCCAATAACGTTTTCATGCGTTCTTCGCTGTAAATTTGACCTGTTAGTTTCCATAAATCGTCAGCGAATCCGGAAGCAACTTCGAGTGTCTCTTCCAGTCCAGCGAGACCTTCTCTAAAATTTTCATTTAATATAAAAAAAATTTTTTAAAAATTAAAATTAAAATTAAAATTTTTGATAATAATAAAAATTAATATTTTTTATCATTAAAAATTAATATTTTTCATAAAGAAAAATTTTGGAAAAATCCCCCTATTATTAATTTATTGAAAAAAAATATTAATCCAATTTTTTTTTAATTTAGGAAAAAAATTTTTTCGAAATTTTGAATTTTTTTTTTTATTTTGTAATAAAAAATATTTTTTTGCTACAAACTTGGAAACTGCTGCACTCTCAAGTTCGACGCGGATTTTTTTCAAAAAACTAACAACTTCAAGATGTGTTCTTTTTTCGTCATTTTTTTTTAATTCCTTAGAACGTCGATGCCAAAATAATTCCTCTTCCTCAATTGTCAATGATGGTCTTGGTCCCAAAATATCCTCCTCCAATTTTCTCAATGAATTCGCATCGACACCTGATGATTTTAAAGTTGGTGCCCAAACTTGACGAAGTGCCTCAATCAATGATGAGCCACCATTTTTACCCGTCGATGTAACATGAACGAGATCATGAAAATTTTCTTCTGTCACTCTTGCTTCGTTCACCTCAAAAATTAGTGTTAAAAAAAAAATTTATTTTGAAAATTAATCCATTTTTTCTATTTTTAATTTATTTATTATAAATTAAATAACAATAATAGTAATTAATAAATATTTATTTATTATAAATTAATTATTAAATTTTTATTTTATATTTTTTAAATTAATTTTTCACTTCTGAAAAAAAATTCCAATTATTTTTTTAACTTTTTATTTTTAATATAAATAATTTTTATTATAAAAACTGATTTTTTTCTTTTATCAAATTTAATTTTGAAAAATATTTTGAAAACTAAAAAAAATTTGTTCTCTTGAAATATTTTATGAAAAAAAAAATAATATTTAAAACATTTTTAAAAAAATAATTTTCTAAAAAATGTTTGTTGAAGATAAAAATTTTTTTTTTTGTAATTTTTTTTTTTAAACAAATTTTAAAAATTACCTTAAAAAAGACAAGTGTATTTTTTCCAATTGGCAATTCATTGGTTAAATTGAGAAAAGTTTCATTATCCTCATGAAAAGTTGGATGCGCGCACAATGTTCGACATGATGATTGATTTAAAAATTTCTCAAGAACTGAGGAATCAACAATTTCAGAATCAAGTTGCGATGTAATACCAAAAAAATTACCAGCCGTAGAAATAATCAATGTCCTCCGTTTATCGAGAACAACCATTTTTTTTTTTTTTTGGTTTTGTACAAAATAAATATTTATTTCATAATTTTTTTTTTATTATTAAATTATAATATAATAATTAACTAGAGTAAAAGTGTTACTGCAAAAAAAATTACTTTTTTTAAAAAAAATATCTTGAAAAATATTTCACACGTGTTGTTTGACTCATTAGGACACGTGTGTGAAAATTACTGTTTCAATGGAAACACACTAGTGGTGTGTGATCGAAGTGACAGTGACAGCGTTTGTCTCCATGACAACTGAATAACAACAAAAATCGCGCGCACCTGCTATGTAGTAAAATACTTTGAAATATTGTTGAAAAATTTTTGTTATCGATTTTTTTTTTTTTTAAATTTTAAAATATTTTTAAATTCGAAATATTTCATAATTTTTTTAAAATAAAAAAAATTAAGTTGTTAAACAATTTTTGAATAGTTATAAAAAAATTTAATTTCTTTTTTAAATTTCATTATTAATTAATTAATCAATTAATTAATTTTCAATTATATTTTTTATTTAATTAATTTTTTTTATTTTTTTCCTATTTATTTATTTTTTATTCATTAATTTTTATTTTATTTATTTATTAAAAAAAATTTTTTTTTTTATTTATTATCTATGTTTTATAAAATAGTAAAAAATTATAAAATATCGTAGTAAAAATGTCAATAAATTGAAAAAATTAAATTATAAGCAATGATGTAAATTGTATTTAATTTTCTATAGTAATTTTTTTAATTATTTATAATTTCATCGATATCGTAAGTAAATAAATATAAATAATTAACACACACGATAATATTCATATAGCTATAATAACTTTAACTTTTTTTTTTAAATTATCTATTCCACTGATAATAATTTTACAACTATAATTACGTTGTTAACAATTTTTTTCCAATTATCATTATCATATTAATTCTTATTAATTTTAATATAGGTATCACAATTACAAAAAAGTGGAACTTTTCTCAACTCATAAATATTTTTCAAAACTATGTATTTTTAGAAAAAAATTAAATTTCCCCCATAAAAAAAAATATTTTCCAAAAAAATTGTTATCTTATAAATATTTTTCAAAAGATTAAAATTTTTTTTTCTATTCTTAGAAAAAAATATTCACCTTAAAAAAAAAAATACTGTTCAAATACAATTACAAAAATTTATTACAAATTCTCGTTTAAAAAAAAAATTGCGTAATTAGAATAAATGCGCGAAGAAATCTCAAAGAAGTCATTAAAATCATTGAGGCGCATCGAGGCACACAATAAGAACGTGTTACATATATTTATATATATATATATATATTTACGTGTGTGTATTCATATTATAATGACCTCATCACAACAATTAACCTTGACAGTGAAATGTTATTTTTTATTATGTTTAATCTAAATCAAGGTTATTGTGAATACATAATTAATTAATTGAAGAAAAAAAAATCCGCATTCCAACTGGTTATCTCTCAGAATCTGCAAGTGACACAAATACTACAATAATAATATATTTTTCTCTTTCCTTTTTGTTTCAACATTTCCAGATGGAAATTAATTCTCCAGTTGTGAATCCGCATTGAATTATTATTACTATAGAAGAGAACTATTAGCATAAACGTAACATACGTATAGCAGCGCATAAGTGCCAAGAGTGCATTCCATTGCATTTTGAGGCCACAATATTCGAGATGCTTGCGTGCATTCCTATATATATATATACATGGATTTATAATGTCAGTGTATTTTCATCATCCATCAAAACCAACATTCAGATTTATTCATATTTTTAAATCGATAACAAAATTTAATAAAATTGTCGAAATATTCAATATTCATTCGAATAAAAATTATAATACTAATACTAATAACATTTATAATAATTATAATTATAATTTTTATTATAGTAATTATAATAATACAAGCAATAAACTCGCGTTACCAAGATCCCATTCGTCAACTTTCTTCTATAAAAATATTTAAATCATTATAATAAAGTAATTTTATAAATCAAAGTAATGATACAGCTCCCAAAAAAATTCAATTATTCATACACAGAATAATTCATTGCAAATTCTTGCACAAAATACACACACAAATGTAGAAAAAAAATAACAGACCGATCCGAGTAGAGGAACACCAATTTTATGACGATTAAAGCGATTTTCGTCAAAAAAAAATTTTCAAAAAAATTCAATTTTTCTTAGGCACACTATTTTATTGCAATTTCTTGCACAAAATACACCTGAAAGTGTAGAAAAAAATTGACAGCCCGATCCGAGTAGAGGAAGACTCCTATTATGACCTTTAAAGTGTTTATGGTCAAAAAAAAATTTTCAAAAAAATTCAATTTTTCTTAGGCACACTATTTTATTGCAATTTCTTGCACAAAATACACCTAAGAGTGTAGAAAAAAATTGACAGCCCGATCCGAGTAGAGGAACACCAATTTTATGACCATTAAAGCGATTTTCGTCAAAAAAAAATTTTCAAAAAAATTCAATTTTTCTTAGGCACACTATTTTATTGCAATTTCTTGCACAAAATACACCTAAAAGTGTAGAAAAAAATTGACAGCCCGATCCGAGTAGAGGAACACCAATTTTATGACCATTTAAACAATTTTCGTCAAAAAAAAATTTTCAAAAAAATTCAATTTTTCTTAGGCAGACTATTTTATTGAAATTTCTTGCACAAAATACACCTGAAAGTGTAGAAAAAAATTTACAGCCCGATCCGAGTGGAGGAACACCAATTTTATGACCATTAAAGCGATTTTCGTCAAAAAAAAATTTTCAAAAAAATTCAATTTTTCTTAGGCAGACTATTTTATTGAAATTTCTTGCACAAAATACACCTGAAAGTGTAGAAAAAAATTTACAGCCCGATCCGAGTGGAGGAACACCAATTTTATGACCATTAAAGCGATTTTCGTCAAAAAAAAATTTTCAAAAAAATTCAATTTTTCTTAGGCACACTATTTTATTGCAATTTCTTGCACAAAATACACCTAAAAGTGTAGAAAAAAATTGACAGCCCGATCCGAGTAGAGGAACACCAATTTTATGACCATTAAAGCGATTTTCGTCAAAAAAAAATTTTCAAAAAAATTCAATTTTTCTTAGGCAGACTATTTTATTGCAATTTCCTGCCCAAAATACACCTAAAAGTGTAGAAAAAAATTGACAGCCCGATCCGAGTAGAGGAACACCAATTTTATGACCATTAAAGCGATTTTCGTCAAAAAAAAATTTTCAAAAAAATTCAATTTTTCTTAGGCACACTATTTTATTGCAATTTCTTGCACAAAATACACCTAAAAGTGTAGAAAAAAATTGACAGCCCGATCCGAGTAGAGGAACACCAATTTTATGACCATTAAAGCGATTTTCGTCAAAAAAAAATTTTCAAAAAAATTCAATTTTTCTTAGGCACACTATTTTATTGCAATTTCTTGCACAAAATACACCTGAAAGTGTAGAAAAAAATTGACAGCCCGATCCGAGTGGAGGAACACCAATTTTATGACCATTAAAGCGATTTTCGTCAAAAAAAAATTTTCAAAAAAATTCAATTTTTCTTAGGCACACTATTTTATTGCAATTTCTTGCACAAAATACACCTAAAAGTATAGAAAAAAATTGACAGCCCGATCCGAGTAGAGGAACACCAATTTTATGACCATTTAAACAATTTTCGTCAAAAAAAAATTTTCAAAAAAATTCAATTTTTCTTAGGCAGACTATTTTATTGCAATTTCCTGCCCAAAATACACCTAAAAGTGTAGAAAAAAATTGACAGCCCGATCCGAGTAGAGGAACACCAATTTTATGACCATTAAAGCGATTTTCGTCAAAAAAAAATTTTCAAAAAAATTCAATTTTTCTTAGGCAGACTATTTTATTGCAATTTCCTGCCCAAAATACACCTAAAAGTGTAGAAAAAAATTGACAGCCCGATCCGAGTAGAGGAACACCAATTTTATGACCATTAAAGCGATTTTCGTCAAAAAAAAATTTTCAAAAAAATTCAATTTTTCTTAGGCAGACTATTTTATTGCAATTTCCTGCCCAAAATACACCTAAAAGTGTAGAAAAAAATTGACAGCCTGATCCGAGTAGAGGAACACCAATTTTATGACCATTAAAGCGATTTTCGTCAAAAAAAAATTTTCAAAAAAATTCAATTTTTCTTAGGCACACTATTTTATTGCAATTTCTTGCACAAAATACACCTAAAAGTGTAGAAAAAAATTGACAGCCCGATCCGAGTAGAGGAACACCAATTTTATGACCTTTAAAGCGATTTTCGTCAAAAAAAAATTTTCAAAAAAATTCAATTTTTCTTAGGCACACTATTTTATTGCAATTTCTTGCACAAAATACACCTAAAAGTGTAGAAAAAAATTGACAGCCCGATCCGAGTAGAGGAACACCAATTTTATGACCATTAAAGCGATTTTCGTCAAAAAAAAATTTTCAAAAAAATTCAATTTTTCTTAGGCAGACTATTTTATTGCAATTTCCTGCACAAAATACACCTAAAAGTGTAGAAAAAAATTGACAGCCCGATCCGAGTAGAGGAAGACTCCTATTATGACCTTTAAAGCGTTTATGGTCAAAAAAAAATTTTCAAAAAAATTCAATTTTTCTTAGGCACACTATTTTATTGCAATTTCTTGCACAAAATACACCTAAAAGTGTAGAAAAAAATTGACAGCCCGATCCGAGTAGAGGAACACCAATTTTATGACCATTAAAGCGATTTTCGTCAAAAAAAAATTTTCAAAAAAATTCAATTTTTCTTAGGCACACTATTTTATTGCAATTTCTTGCACAAAATACACCTGAAAGTGTAGAAAAAAATTGACAGCCCGATCCGAGTGGAGGAACACCAATTTTATGACCATTAAAGCGATTTTCGTCAAAAAAAAATTTTCAAAAAAATTCAATTTTTCTTAGGCACACTATTTTATTGCAATTTCTTGCACAAAATACACCTAAAAGTGTAGAAAAAAATTGACAGCCCGATCCGAGTAGAGGAACACCAATTTTATGACCATTTAAACAATTTTCGTCAAAAAAAAATTTTCAAAAAAATTCAATTTTTCTTAGGCAGACTATTTTATTGCAATTTCTTGCACAAAATACACCTGAAAGTGTAGAAAAAAATTTACAGCCCGATCCGAGTGGAG